CCCCCAACTCTACTGCCCACTTGGAAATCCTTCCGGAGAGTTCTGCTTTCCTCAAAATTGCCTTCAAGGGCTGATCGGTTAGGACAGTGATTGGGTGCGCCTGGAAATAATGCCGCAGTTTCCTTGCAGTGGTGACCAGGGAGAGAGCCAGTTTCTCTAGGGGCAGATATCTTGTCTCTGCGTCCAGGAGCGCCTTGCTTATGTAGTAAATCGGCTTCTGTCGGTGCTCATGCTCACGGATAAGTACCCCGCTTACCGCAAACTCAGAAACTGCTAAGTACAGGAACAACATCTCCCCCTGGATGGGGACGAACAGGGTTGGAAGAGTCCTTAGGTATTCTTTGATCCCAGCCAGGGCGTCCTCGCACCCCTGGCTCCACATATTCTTCCCAGCACTCTTGATTGCTCCAAAGAAGGGTTTGCATTTATCCGAGGAGCGTGAGACGAAACGGTTAAGTGCAGCCAGCATCCCTGTGAGTTTTTGGACTTCTCGGACAGTGCGAGGGCTTCGGATGTCCAGGATTGCTTTAATCTGATTCGGGTTGGCTTCAATTCCTCGTTGACTAACCAGATATCCGAGGAATTTACCGGACTCCACTCCGAAAATGCACTTCGCCGCATTCAGCTTCAGCCCATATTCCCTGAGGGTGGAGAAGGTATCCGCCAAATCTGTCAGATGATCACAACTCCGTTTGCTCTTCACCAGCATATCGTCTATGTAGACCTCCATGGTGTTGCCGATCTGCTTTTTGAACATCCGATTCATCAGTCTTTGGTATGTTGCCCCGGCGTTCTTCAGTCAAAACGACATCACTTTGTAACAATAAACTCCCTTCGGAGTGATAAATGCCGTCTTTTCCTGATCCGGGGCATAGAGAGGGATCTGATGATATCCTGCTCGGGCATCCAGGAAGTCCATTCGTTCATATCCGGCTGTGGCATCTACCAGCTGGTCCACCTTTGGCAGGGGGTAGTCATCCTTGGGGCATGTCTTGTTCAGATCTGTAAAGTCTACGCAGACACGCCACTTCCCCCCTTTCTTCTTTGCGCACACCGTATTATATAGCCATTCAGGGAACTGTATCTCTCGAATGGCGTCGGCCTTCAGGAGCTTGTCGATTTCCTCGTTGACCGCGCTGGTATGATGCGGGGCCATGCGTCGCGGCCTCTGCTTGACTGGCTTGTATGACGGGTCAACATGTAGCCTGTGTGTGATTATCTCGGGATCTACCCCTGTCATTTCCATCTCATTCCACGCGAACACGTCTGCATTCCCCCTTAGGAACTTGATCATCTCCTCTTGTTCGGCTGCGGGCATCGAGGTTCCAACTAGGAAATACCTCTCTTCTTCTCCTTCTATCAAGGGCACCTTCCGGAGGTCTTCCACTGACCGCTCAGTTGGGTCTATCCGGGGGTCATCCATTCTTGGACGCCCGGACTGTAATTGCTATTTTTCTATAATCTCTTCCAGCGCTCGCCCCTTCTCCTGGCTGGATGCCCCGGCTCGAACGGCTGAATAAAAACAGTTTTTCGCGGACGCTTGGTCCCCCCGGATCTCCATGATACCTTCCGGTGTGGCGAATTTTAATTTCTGGTGGAAGGTGGAATGCACCGCACCCAACGCATGCAGCCATGTTCGCCCCATAATCACGTTGTAGGGAGAGTCCGTATCGATCACAACAAACTCTGTGTCGATGATAAAGGGACCAGTGGCCACCGGCAATGTGATTTTCCCCACGGGCAAGGCGAATGAGCTGTTGAACCCGATGAGGGGTGTCCTGACTTTGGTGAGGTCTTTGGGGCCAAAGCCCATCCGTTTCAAAGTTTTGAAGTACATCACCTCCGAGGAGCTTCCAGAGTCTATCAAAATTCTCTTGACATCGAATTTCCCTATCCTTAGGGTCAAGACAAGGGCATCGTTATGGGGGGTCACTACGCCTGTCAAATCCGCGTCGGAGAATGTAATGGCAAGCTCACCCGTCCTGGCTCTTTTACTTGATGGCCCTACATCACCCTCGGCTACCTTCCTCGTAAAAGCTACCCTCTTGAGGTCGGACTCGAGTTCCCTAGACGTGGGGCGATCCAGGGGACATATATGAATGACGTCTATGATGTTGTCCGGTTTCTCGGTCGGGGCAAGGGCTCGTCTCTCTTCTGGCCTGGGCTCGATGTACTCTTTCAAATGTCCGTCTCGGACCAAGCTTTCCAAGAATGATTTGAACACCCTATAGCTTTCGGTGCGATGCCCGAAATCCCGATGATAGGAACACTTAACCTTTTGATCACGGGTGGAGGGGTCGCCCTGCATCCTGGGAGGCCATTTGAAGAATGGCTCGTGCTTGATTTTATGGAGCAACTTGAAGATGGGTTCCTTGAAAACAGTGTGAACTCCTCTGGACGAACCCCCTGGATGGGGTAGCAATCCCTTTCGGGGAATATCTTCGCGCTCCTTCTCCTTTCTCTTAGATTGGAGGGCTCGGCCTTTGTTGCTTCGCATCTCGTCCTCAACCCTCGAGTACTTGTTCATCCGGGCCATCAGTTCCCCCATATCCGAGGGAGTCTTCTTGGTCAGGGATCGGTACAGGTCCGTGTCCCTCGTCAAGCCGAGCCGGAAAGATGGTACTGCCATGACCTCCGATCAGCCTTCTATCTCATTGACTTCTTCCCAGTATCGGATGGCGTACTGGCGAAGAGTCTCGGATTCCCTCCGCCTGAGGGTCAACAATGATCCAATGTCTTTGGGGCGCTTACTCCCCGTAATGAATCGAGCCAGGAACTGCCTAGTCAATTCCTTCCAGGATCCAATACTGTTGGGAGGAAGCGCCTCGAACCACTTCATCGCAGAGTCCCCCAAGCTCATAGGAAACACTCGGCAAAGAAATCGGTGGTCCGAATGATAGAGGGACATCATCTGCTTGTACTGTCTGATATGGGCTTCGGGGTCAGACCGCCCGTCATAGGTTTTGAACCGTGGTACGACAAATTTTCTTGAGACCTCCATCTCACTGATCTCCCTCGTAAAGGGTGTTTGCATGACTTCTTCCTCGGCCTCATCCTGGACAGCCTTACCCTTTCTCCTGGTGTCTAATCGGGCTCTGAGATCAACTTCTTCCCTGGCGGGATGTCTTCTGAAGTCCTTGAGTTCGTCGGTAAGTCCCTCATTTGCGGGGCGTCGTGTGGATTGGGTTGAGTCCTCCTCGGATTCATCTCCCTTCCTCCGTCTAGACAAACCTCGCCGGAGGTCGTCCAGGGCCAGTGGCCTCGCTTTCCTTGAAAGGTTGTCATGATGATGCTCGCCGGCTCTAGATCGCTTTGGGGCCCTAGAGCTCTCTGCTTTGTTGTTTAGATGGTTTCTTAGGTCCTTCGTTTCCTCCTCTCGGGCGGGAAGCCCACGGGAAAGGAATGAATCCCTAGACCCCCCGCCAGAGGCAGCAAACTCGTCGAGCCGGCTTAGGACGTTTACATTGTCCTTTTCCAGCTGACGTAATCTATCACCAAATTTTTCTTCAATCACCTCCGCCAGCTGACGAGCCAAGGGGGCTGATCCCCCTGACCTGATTCCCATACTGGTTTGAGGGGTAACCCCTCTTGACCGAGTAGAGGCACTTTTATTCGTGTTGGTGTGATCCCTCCCTCCGTGATGACAGGGAGCTTGTAACTCGAGACTCCTTTGGTGAGGTTTTTTTCCTTTTTGTCGAGTGTTCACCATGGCCACTGTTCTTTATAGAGAAAAAACTAGAAAAACTAGTCGTTTCCCACAGATGGCGCCAGATTGTGCGTGCAAGATCCTGCACAATATAAAAAATGAGAACAGATCTCTCCCTTGATGAGCTTCGAGTGAGCCGGTTGAGTGACCAAACACGCTGTTTGGGGCAGCCTGCAAGGTACGGTGGTAACCTGGAACGACAACGGGAGACCCTGGGAAAGGAACAACGATCCTGTAAGGCTGAAAGAGATTCCTGGAACAAAGAAGAACAAGTTAGAAGGGCGCCGGAGTGTTTTTCGGCGTATCCCCTCCGACGATCTAGTCAGTCTTTTAGAAAGAGAGAGGAAGGAGAAAACACTGAGAATGTATCGTAGTAGAGAGTTTGTTGTCGCATACCCGATTTGCCTTATGCAAGAAGTATTTATACCTTAAAAGCTCATGATTGCTGTTAGTGTAGTCAGTAGGTGATCATTAAGCACAGGTAGCATGTGCATTGATTCTGATGAGGAATGTCTTCTCTAATTAACTGCTCGGGGTCCGGAGCAATCAATGCTGGATCATCGGGATGCCGACGGTACAATGTGCTCCCTCGCTAGTGGGTACCTCCTCCTTTGAGTGCAAGGGCTTATATGCGAGGGGGGGGGAGACGACTCTCAGTCGATGTGGGACGTAGTTCCTGCGGGCACTGAGAGGTAAAGGCTACTGGAGGTCGCCCGCGTGGATTAACCCAAGTCAAGCCGAAATCCTTAGTAGAGGATTCTACCCCTTACAACATTATACTAGAGTTATTTAGAAAACTCTCATGGTTTTCAAATATCTCTGTGACATCAGATGTAACAACCCTTTGTAAATATCTAATTGATGACAGAACAAATTATGATATTCAGGATCAAACTGGCATCATCTGCCTTTTTTTTTTGGGATATTAAATGGATATGTAGATAAAACATTTTATCTATTTGTCAGAAAATATTATCTTTCAGTACCACAGTTATCTACAGAGGATCATTCCATTGCACTTATGTCCGGGCCGAGACTAAGCTCTTTATTGTGTATTCTGAGCGTTGAAGCGTAATTTTAACATTAAAAAATTACTGTATTTATAGAAACTCGAAGTATTGAAAGAAAAAATTTATATTCTTACCGCGACGTGGAGTGATGTATGTGGCCAACTAAAAATCTAGACCGAGAGCAGGACAGGAGGATAAGAGTCACTGTCTGATAATAAAAGGTTGGATGGATTTTTCTTATTTATTGTGCTTCGATTTTGGTAAGGATTCTTCTGTTGATTCCCCCAAAATATCTTTCAACTCCATTCCACCACCCAGAAATTAAAAAATCTACTGACTTTTTCAGATATTTTCACCCAACTCAACTCTGACTCTCAGGGATCGGACGCTATAAAACACATGGAAACCCCCACACATGCTTTTGAAACTTCAGTAAACACAACACCCACGATCTGGTTCGTTCTCAGGCAATTACCACCGGCGTCTGTATTCTTCCGGCGACATAAAAGCGGTTTCCCGATAAGCAATGGATCAAAGAAAGAACAACAGCGATCGAGGTTTGTGTTGGACAAACGAAAGGCACGTGGACTTCTTAAACACAATGGAGGCTTCATTTGTTCGAACAATGTTTGAAAATAACGGTCTTCTTCTTCCTCTAGACCGGTATTTACCGGACAGTTCTGAATCAACCCTAGATTTGAAGAAAGAGAGAAGAAGAAGATTCTCCACCTCAGGTATAGATAATACCATACAAATACGAAAATATAAATGTGATATATGTTTTCTATGCGGCCGGATATTTTATTTTATTTTATTTTTTAATTTATCGGTTAAGATTACAATTATTTCGATTAATTTTTTTTTTAATCTAATTAAAAACAGATTATTATTGTCGAAATTAGGGTATTCACAAATCCGAATTCTCGAGAGTTTTTAAAATTTAAATTTAGAACGTCTTAATTTAGAATTCGGTTCTGTTGCTACTTGAACGAGCTCTTAAGATTAGCCGGACATATTATAGTTTGTTTGTGGTGTTTCTCTGCGATCCACCGAAGGTGAACTGGGTTTACTTTTAAGCAGGAGCTCGGTTTTCATGGCGGATTTTTTTAGGGCGTGTTTGGGTGCACACTATTTCGTGACGCGTTTGCTTAACATTTATCTTCTACTTTCATGATTTTGAATGGGTTCCGTTCAACTTTTATAAATACACGTTCTGTTGGTGAAAAAAGAGTTTTTACCCACCGTCCAAACACAACTTAAAGTATATGCTTCTCAAAGATATTTGTTGCACAATAGCTATAGTCCACTGCACGTACTCGTGTTAAACTTCAAGGTGACTGGTTGGAATTTGCTACCTTTTTTTTGTGACAAAAAAAAAACTTTGAATTTACTATTTTTTTTTATTAATTCATTTATTGTTTGTTGCCATAGATATTATGGATCCAAGTGTCACAACCGATAGGAAAGGGAGGAGGAGACTATTATCCCAGCCGTACACTTCATCAAAAGACCAGGTTTGTTACACGTTATTACAACTATGCCCTACCATATATCACATTAAGTTGTATTACTTTATTTTACAATAATTATAATTATATTATTGCCCGAGTAAGAAATATCTCATTAACCCGCACGGGTAGCCAATGGTGCTGTCATGTGGAATTGAAAAATATCCAATAAAATGATTCTAGATATTTTGGGCAAAATGTTATTTTGTATTCTGTGTTGGGCTTGTGACGTGAGATAATTAATCTTTTGCGGGATTACGTATAGTAAAAAGATTAAAAGGGAACAATTGTTATTATAATGTTTTTGCAAACAAAAATTTATTGACTGCAATTTTAAGGATAATTCAAGTAATAACAAGGACGAGTTATAAGTTTAGACATCTTGAGTTCGATTCTTGATAACTCCCTGAGGTCAGGTCACGAGAAATTTATTTCTCATAAATATCATAGTCTCGTCGTAGATATTCTGTCTTTGACTAGATCAGAGAGGGAATTAATTGAAGTTTGTATAAACTAATCTGCCCACTCCGGAGCGATGATCCCAAAAAAAAAATTATTGAAAGTGTTAAAAACTTTTTAAAAATTAAATTGCAAATGTAACAATTTTGTTTATCTTTTGGGGGTATAAAACTCTTATTGTGTATGTGTGTACCCCCACAGGTGGTCCCACAGTCTCAAAGCAGAAGAGATGATAAGAAGGAGAAAGCCCACCCTGGTGTCCCCATCACTCCGGCTGCACCTACCAATTGATGAGAAAGACTCTTCCCGTAGAAGGGTTTCTTTTTTTGTTTTCACAAACGATGTTGTTTTGTGAGATATCACCTCTGCTGTACAAGCTATGCCTTTCTCTTTCTTTGGGTTTTTGGATTAGTTTTTCTTTGTGTGTTTTGCTAACTCCATTGTTCATTCTTAATGAAATATCTTCTCCGGTGCTTCTGTAAACAGTAGCAAAGGGATGGTTTAAATGTGGTTTTAAAGCACAACAGCTGCCTTGATTGACTAGACTAAGCCCAATATTTAATGATGATATAAATGACGAGTATTCGAGTTCAAAAGATTAGTAACAACAAATTTAAAAATCTTGTAATAAAAGAAAAAATCACGAGTTAATCTTGGACCTAAAGCGTAATCCAAAGTCGGTGAATCTCTCCCTTTAAGCACAAAAGGTGCACGGTTTCAATCTCCTCTCACTCCCATGGTGTAGTGTAGTATCGTTGCCAACCGAAAAACAAAAAAGTAGATGAATTAATCTATGGAACTAAATTATTTTTTGACATTATTTTGCTTAATCAAATGTGAGACGTGAAAGGTTGTTTCATTTTATTTTATTAATAATTTATTTTAATTTACTATTTTCTACTATTCACACTTACAAATATCCCTAATTATAATCTATGGTTTTAAATTATTTTTTAAATTTGATAATTATAAGTTATTTTGGGTACTACAATCATATCCTCTACATAAAAAAGTGGCCTAATAATAGTTAGATGCATCTCAAAGCCACGTTGTGTCTACTCTTTGGCTACCTACCGGTTGGTAGGCTTTGCATGATTAATTTGTTTGGTATTTATTAATATTGGATTTTTGAATGAATTCAATGGAAAGGAATTGAGATATTTCTAGTGGTAGTTGATATTTTCATACTACAATCATTGATCACCGAAACATTAAAGAAATTGAAACTATAAAATAATAAATTGTCTCTTGTCAGCTTCATGTGGTAATTGAATTAAAAAAATGTTATAATTTTTTGATATTCTAGTAGCCAATAGGTTTTCATAGTAATGAGAAAACATTATTGGGTCTTGTTAAAATAAAATCTCTCATTGATATTTTATGAACTACTACTATTTTTTTCCCCTTGATTGAGGAGAGCCACATAGAGATGGATATAATGAGTAGGTTAACGATGATAGGTTCTTTTTTAGGCTAAAGCTATCTTCAACACTATTAATAATGGATGCATTCTAATCATAACAACTGTTTCAGAGTGTGGGTTCTGAACAACTCTACCTACTCAGGTGCCTAGCAATATTTTTTTTAGTGGTTAATTTAATGGTCATCACCTCTTGGTTAAATGAATTTTAAGATCGTGGGTTTAAATTTTATCATCTCCTCTTTATAATATATATATAAAGAATTTCAAATCTTTTAAAACATAAAAATGACTTTTATTTTTGCGATTTAGATAGTCTCACAATTATGTCTATTTTGATCCAATTGTTGAAAATCTATATAAATCAAATACAAAGGATTCGAAATCTCACTACATAAAAATGACACAAAGACACTAATATACCAAAAATATATACACGCACACAAGAAAAAATAAACACATCAAAATACACACACACACATCCATTAATACACCAAAATAAAATTGACCCAGACTCAGACCCGAGCCTGGATCTGGACCTAGACCTCAACCCTACTCGACCCCACCTCATACCTAGACCAGACCACACAAACTCAAACAAAGACAAACCCAATCGCGAACCCAAATTTGACCCCAGCCTCAGGCTTGACCCCAACCCTAGACATGGATCTAACCCTAGACCCAGATCTAACCCCCAACTCGATCTCGACCCCAAACTTGGACTTGTCCGAGCCAACCCCCAGACCCGAACCCAAACTCCGCACTCAAGCCCGAACCTGACTCCAAATCTAGACCTAGACCTAACCCCAAAGTAAAACTCGAACCTAACTCCGACCCTGATCGCGAACTCGAACTTAACCCCAAACTTGGACCTAACTCTAAACCTAAGTTTGACCCCCGACCCTACACCCCTAGACCCGAACCTAACCCAACCCTGGACTCAACCTAGACCCCGACCCTAGACCTGAACTTGACTCTGAACCCAAATGTACTAGAACTAAAACCAGGTCTCATACCCCACCCCGAACTTGGGTAATAGTTTTCATTATCACTTAATTAAAAAATGATTTGAATTTTAGATGTGACTTACGTAAATTTCAACAAATACTTACATCTGAATAATACTAATAATTCAAATACGTTTGATATGTAACTTTTATTTTTTACATGTTATCTACTTTAACTATTCCATAGCCTTTTTTTTTTGTTACTACATGCCTTCAGACATATATATATATATATATGCCTATGTAAGGACTAATGTTTAGACATGTATGTTAGCTAACTGATAAAACAACGACTGGGACCAAATTGATCCAAATATCACCAAGCAATCCAAAATATCAGTCAGTTGCATAAGCTTTCTCCCGGCTGGCCTACAAATTTGGACATTAAGCTCAAGGTATCAACATTTAATTGGATTAGTGTAATTTTCATTAGAAACCCCCAAGATTTGTTGTGTTATGTATCAGATAAATCAGATGATGTGGGGCATAAATACGACACTGATTGATAATACCCTTTCTTTTTGTTTTTTTTTTTTTTTTTTTTTTTTTTTTTTGGGGGGGGGGGGGGGACATTCATTATAAAACCTACTAAATACATAGGATATATTAAATCTAGCCAAAAACGGCTCCAGTTAATTGAGTATGCTTAACATGAATACTATATCTCAAACACACACAGCAAAAGTTTCTTCAAAACCTAGATCATTAAGGATAAAATGACAATTGATACGACTCAAATTATCACCTAAAACAATTCATCGATCCCAGCCAGTGCATTCGGAGATTCCAAATGGTTGGGCATTGGGCAGCAAGAAGATGAAACAACCTCATGCTTCGACATTTCCTTATTGCTAAGAAAAAAACAGTCCTCTGTTAGCAACACGAATGGCTATCAAGTTCTTCACAAAGTCTGGCATTTGGTACTGCCTATTTACAAGCAAAAGGGGGGAGGGGGGAAGTGTCATATTGTATCAGAACAACAATGAAAAAAGCTGATAAAGAAATCATCATCCAATGAATTGTTTTAAGCACCTCTAACTCCGTCACCTGAGGCTGAAGCTTGTTGTGGGACATCTGCACTGCCTTCGTCAATGTCTATCTCTCTTACACCAGCGGTTAAAGATGATGATGAATCACCACCCCTATCATTTTTCCGACCATCCCCATCCTCGTCAGATGCATCTTCAAGTAAGGAGCCCTTTCGCCGGAGTTCTTTCACTTTCTGAAATTCATCATAGTGAACTCGCCTATGCTCCCTGAAGTTCCTGCTCTTCTCACTATCAAAATCTGATAAATGTGACAAATCACATATTGGGATTAGGGGGTCTTGCCCAGATATTTGTTACACTCTTCAACTTATTAAATAATATGACACTGTTTTCCGCATTTGAACAAGAACTTTGAATTGCGAACTTTGACATCCCAAAGGCGGGGAGGAAACCTACAATTATTGATGAAGCAACAGAGAAGTATAGGAGGGGAGGCACACACACCCCAAACAAAAAAACCCACATTCAAAAAAAAAACAGACCAAAAAAGAAGTCGTTTGGAATTACATGCAAACCTAATATGAAATTTTCATATACAAGATAGAGGCCCAGTGAATATATGGTAGCTTTCATCCCTGCCCACAATGGTTTTAAAAGTTATGTATGATGTATAGGTAATTCTATCTACAATGAATACCCTGTAATCGAAAAAGCACAACGAACAAAAATGATACAATCTCCAACTGCAGAAGCCCTTACTGCAGGCGTATTGTGAAGGTCAAATTAGTAAGCAGGATCCTCTACTCCTCCCTTAAGTGCTCCAGCAAAACTAAAAGGACAAAATCTCTTTGCATAAACCATAACATTGAAATTGTACTACTGATGGAACGAAAACAAGATCAGACTCAATTTCCTTGATGCCATTACATGTAAAACAGAAATATGATGTGAAACAGTGTCATGAATGATAATACAAACCTGAAGATAATGAGATATCAGACCAAAATGCCAAACTAGTGTAGAAATACAACCAATGAACAAAAAATCAGTGATGAACCTTCATCATCTTGATCCATAGCATCTGCCTCGTCTTCAGATGATGTCCAGCCAGAATGCTGCGAGTTATTTCTACTGGAGGAAGCAACATCATTCAGCGCAGAACGTATTGCTTCTGCATGCATGGCATCACCGATGCCGTCCTCAAAACTCCCTCTTATAGGAGATAGTGATCCTGCAGTATTTGACGCAATTCAGCCGATATATTTTCAAATCTAGGTGCTATGGAAGTGGGGCTCTACAAAAATAAGTACTCTTTGTTTCTGACCCCCTAAACAGCATATTTTTTTAAGTGGTTTCAGGTCCCAAGACAGCAAAGGAGAAATGAATGGCAACAACAACGATAATAATAATAAAATCTCAATTATGTTTCCTATCAAAAAAAAACAGTGATAATAATAATAATCATGATTGTTATAAGAGTGTATCAAGCATAGCTTGCCCCATAATCCAGAAAAAAGGGGATGGCATGCAATGCATTTACAAACACCTTCAAATTGATAGCCCAAGAATTATACTAATTTCCTATGCAACCAACTCTTGGCACTTCATGTGGTCCACAAACTCACTTGGAATTCCACCACCAGATGCCCCCCCCCCTCTTTTTTTTTGGCTTTCTCACTCTTTTTCGTGTATGAAACAGGGTAGACTTTGGAATGTCAAGTAAAAAGGTCATCAAATTTTCACATTCCCAATGGATGAAGAGTGCCCCTCCACCAAATCCATGCATAATCCTTCTATCACTTCTATCTTGTCAGTAAGATTGCCAAACCAAACTTCTGAACCTCTTATGTTGTATAATATTGGCAAAACCTTCACCCAACTAGTAACATATTTAGCCAACACTGCAATTAGAGGATCCATTAGGCTCCGATGCAACAAAACTGGTGAGTCTAGTATCATTTCCGAAAGTGAATGTGTAACTTAAGATCAAGTTGCCCCTGTAACTTCTTGAGAGATCATTCCTCTTGGCAACCATGACAATGTCTCCAGAAGCATTGCACACTACTACTAAAATTGGTATACAACATATTATCTTGCAATAGAATTCCCCTCCCCCCCCCCCCATGTTAAGTTATTTGAAGACTCACTACAGATCATAATTAGGCACGTAAACTTCTGAGCCATGAAAGCAAACTCATGATAGGGGTTAGAAAGATTCTGCATATTCTTGAATAGCATTATCTAAATAACCATCTCCATCGCCTTAGAACTTTCTAACGAAACATAGCTATTAAAACAGGAAATTCTCAAAAAACACAGGAACAGTATAGGGTACAGCCCTATCTAACTTCAGGGCCCCATTTTATATTTCCAGGCAACCACAAACATACACAATAAAAATAGCCAGAGATGCACAGAGAACAAACCAAAGCAACATACCATCATCCTCAATAATGGGGTGGTATGGAGTCTTCGGTTCAGTTATTTTTTGCCTCACAGGTTTATTGGCTTCAATTTCCCCCAGATTAGCCTCATCCCATCTTACTCGACCCCTGGAATTCAAATAAAAATTATCACATTAGCATTCTGATAATAGAGGCATATCAACATAAGTTTAAAAAAAAGCAGCACCCAGTGCACGAAGCTCCCACCACGGGGAGGGTTAAATGTATGTAGCATTACCCGCATGCGGAAAGACTATTTCCGCAACTCGAACCCTTAACGCCGTGACAACAATGGAGCAACCTTAACAAAATATAAACTGAAAGTCCTAAATATGGAAAAAATGCACAGTGGGAAGTAATTTGTGAAGCTTAACAACAGTGAAATAGATGCATAGAACAATACATGTGAAGCTTAACAGCAGTGAAACAGATGCATAGAACAATACATAAGCAAAATAAGCACAAAACCTGAGAAGTTCATCACACAAAAAGGGAAATAAAAAGTCAAAACTGATGATAAGGCTAATTTCTTTCTCTTGGAAAACAAATACTCACAAAATAGCAAACCAAACGTGCAATGCAGTACTTGCAAACTTATTGGTCGATCATTAAAGCCTTGTTTTTTGGCAGGGCTAGTAGAATCGCATCCAAATAGTATACTTTCCGCTGGAAACAAAAGAATGGACCCTAATATATAATGAATTGTAACAGAAAACCAACACTTTAACCAAGGCCAAACGTCGAACTATGATGGTTCGACTAACGTGACCCAAATATACAACTTAGATAATCACGGGAGCAAAACACAATGTCTCCCCTATAGTAGTTCTTTCAGAAAAGGGCAACTCAGAATACGAGGTTTCTTCCATCATGACATCAAATGTATGAAAAATTATTCCCACTGATCCTCTAATCAAGAAAATAGAAACATAAACAAGCTGAATAAGAGTAAAAACAAGCATCCAAATGAGACAGTATGATAAATGCACAGGGCATGAATTACCTCATCTCAGTATTTGATGATCTTTTAATACCTCTCACTCTCTCCAAGTAGTTGACAAATAGCCTGATTACTGAAACAAAAAGAGAGAAAATTACTTGTCGCATTTTCAAACAAATTTACATTTTCTGTATAACAGAAGCACAATTAACCGAGCAGCAGCATCCAGGTTAGCCATACTCAGGCCTATTTTGACATGTCTCTTAACTAAAATAGGAGCAAGGTGACCACCATTGTTACCCTAAAGAAAAGGAAACATAAAAACTGCATGCACAGAAGTAAAGCATTCTAAGCAGCAAAAAACTATGGGAAAAAACTAAAGAGCCAGATATGCGACAAAAAGCAAAAGAAACTGTGAAGTTATTCAAGGATTCGTACATATTTCAACAAGATTAAAAATACCTACAATAAGTTTAAATAGCACAGATGACAAAGTAGCAGATAATTAGAACTTAGAAGACAATAACTCTGGTCAAATCTATTTTAGTATGTACATTAGTTGGAATTGATCATTCTGACTGCGATGGAACTAATTTTAATGGCGGTATCCAATAAACAATATTCCATGAAAGGCAAAACAATCCCATCATAGTGTGGAATGATGAATATATGGATATGCACACACCTACATATTCTTTTGATGCTTTAGCACCACACATCTACTAATGTCCCTCTGCAATGAAGATGAAAACACAATGCCATTAAGTGAACTTTCAGCAATAGCTGAGTTCACCGAAGAAGCAGAAGAGGGTAGAGGAGGAATATGTCGCTATTGTAATTTCCCTTCCATTCCTCAATTTGACAAGGAGGAATATGTCACTATTGTAATTTCCCTTCCATTCCTCAATTTGATCAAGATATTTCCTTGTTAAGTATTATGGATTTAACCTCTTTTGATGACCAACATAATTTTATATCTAATAATGATTGTAGATAAGTGCTGCAGAAGAAGCCCATCATCCTTGAAGTTTGCTACTAAAATTGCTGTGGAATTGCATGAAAAAAAGAGGCCTTTTCAGTGATGAAACCTTGAACACAAACTGAAGAAAGGCTGTGTCAACATGAAAAATTAATCAGGGTGTTGAAACATGAATGAAAATTTTCAAATATCTAATGACATATCATTTACCATCTCCTAAAATTTCAGCTTATAACCCAATTAATTCCCAGTCATGGGGTCTCTAAATGGCGTATAACTCATGACCAAAATGAATGGCCAAAGACGGATTCATATAGCCAATCCCATACGTCCCATTTGGGACATAAGGCTTGGTTGGTTGGTGAAGTCCCAAATCCCGAAACTAGTTATACACAATCCACGACGCCAAATGCACATAAATTTATCACAGTAAAGCACTTACTAAACATTCATCAATTAATCAATTGTATCGAAGACCACAAAAACGAAAACACAAATGGAACTGTGGGATTAGGTCAGAAACGAGATTCGAATTTTGAAGACAAATATAGATCCTTAAAACCAGATTTATTACCGAAAACGATAAATTCGTACCTCTGCAAACAAATGGATTCTGTGAATCGTCGTCAACAAGAGTTCTGATTTCGATAAATTTTTCGACCTAATCATAAAAAAATGTAAGCTTCAGGCGTTCAGCCCCTTCTTCTCGTTCGCACAGCCTCTTTGGCATTTTTCTGTTTTCCCAAAACACCCTCGTGATTCCGCTTTTAATAAAAACAACTTGAATATGAGTTGAGTGGTTGACCACATCGCCAGTGTTTCGCGGCGAGAATTTAAGGTGGTGTCTGATAAAAGTCTTTGACCAAAAAAAAAAAAAATTATATGTAAAACTTTAGCGCTCCATTTGTTACGATGAAAAAATAAAAAAGTAATGCTACATAAATTTAAAAAATAGATTTAATAATTTCAATAATTGATTTCATTGTAAGTCTCAACATTTATTGGGATTCACTACTTATTCAATGATTGAGATTATCAAGTCTAATTAGTATTATTCAAAATAGAAAGATGAAAAGTTAGAAAAATGAAAAGCTGGAGGAATAAATAAAATATCATATTTGGTAAAGAAGGAAAATAAGAATGATGGAAAAGTGGATAAATTAACTTTCCTTCCAACTCATCAAAATCAATTTCTCCAAAATCGGAAGAAAAGTAGATGAAAAATTAATTATTTGTGTTAAGATGTATTTTATTTGTATATATATTGTGTATACATTAATTTCATATAAAAATACAAGGGTGAAAGGCACCAATGGTCCCTAAGGTTTGACACGTATTGCACTTTTGTCTCTAAATTTCTAATTTCGTCCTCAATGTTTACACATTAACCCACTTTACTCCTTACCTCTAACTTTCGTCCAAAAAACTAACGAAAAATGTCACATGCCCAACACATGAAGGTATTAAGGGACATTTTAGTCATTTTATAATTATTTATACACCCAAACACAATTATTCTTGGACCCAAACACCCACAGTCTTCTTCCTTTCCCTTCTCTCTCCTTACACACGTACAAATCCTTTTGAGTTTTCTCTTCCTCACACAGACATCTCTCTCTCTTAATTTACTGCATCTCCACCCCCAACACCCAACAAATCCCCTTCTCTCGTTACTGTGTCTCCACCCCAAACCCAGTACATCTTTCTCTCTACTCTCTCCTCTCTCGTTACTGCGACTCCACCTTCAAACCCAACGCAAAAAATAATTTCGTTGTTGCGTTTGTTCAAACTTATGATTATCCACAAATTTTGATCCTATCCTATCCTATTCGACCTTATTTATCGATTACCCGAAAGAATCGGGCAGGCTAACGGAATATTTTTTTAGATTCAGCAAAAAAATCGGGTAGAAATGCGAAATACCTACAAATTTTTCATATTCCTACTCTACCCTACCCTATATATATATATATATATATATATATAAGTCCTAAAAATTAAAATCCAAAACCCTAAAAACTCTAATATTTTATTGATATTTATGATTTTCTTATATATAACTAGGGTAAACCGTGCTTAAAGGCACGATACAATTAAAAAAAAAATCGAGCATTGAACTTGGACGCATACTAAACTGAAAGCCTAAACTGTCATTTATAACCCATACCTGAAGACATTGTGCAATTCAAAAAATAATTAAATAAATAAAATGTTCTTGAAAAAGAAACAATTAAACACTGAACATATACATGCATTAAGCTGAAAGTTTAAACTATATTTTTAGACGATAAACCCCACATGACATTCCTTAAGTTTAATTGGATCTATCAAATCAATTTGAGCTGGTACAAAATACCAAATAAAATGGATGAGGTTGAAAAATAAACATGCTCTTTTTATGCATCTAAAACAACTTAAAACTATTCTTTCACACATGAATAACTAACCATAAAAAATGCACCATATGAATCTATATTCATACTACTAATAAAAGTACCTTAACATAAAAAACTTTTGATTCTTTATTTTAGCCTTATAAAAAATTACAAAAATCACTTTATCATTTTAAACTTAAATATATAAATTATTATCATATTGTTATATATTTATTATCTATTTTAATTATCTATTCTCTATGTATAAATATCAATTTTTATAAAATTTTTTGATCGACTATATTACTCTTAAAAATATATGAATTATTATACTTTTAATAAAGTTCAAAAAAATTTCAAAAACTCCATCAATCTAACCCTTTTATTTCTAAGTTAAAAAAATAATTTCAAAAACTCCATCAAAAAAATTGAAAAGTTTAGCCCTTTTATTTCTAAGTTAAAAAAATAATCGTAAATATAGTTTTTTTTATCTTTCGTGTTATAGTTAGAAAAACGAATTTTGTACATTCCAGAATCTTCATAATCCTATAACAAAATATAAGCAATGAAAAATTAAGTTTAATAACTTTGAGATGATATTTAATTTAAATATGCATATCTAATATGTGTTATTAAGTTTTGTGTACAAAAATTATTTATATGCAACGCACGTGGTGCATTGCTAATAGTTAAAAAAGTGACATGTCAAACATAAAATTGTGTGGTACATTAATTTTTTCAATCCAAGCAACTTCCATCACACAACAAAATAACATATTATTTTTAAATTAATGTCTACTCCAATAAATTAACAAAACTCACATTACAATTACGTAGAAATTACTACATGAGAAGGTTTTTACCCTCCACAACCTCTATAATAATCTCTAATAGACCTAAATCTACGCAACATTAATCGAATTAGTAATTCATTCAATGTTAATTGTTCCCAAAAAAAATGTCAATCCCAAATCTCAAAATGCATGAAGGAGATGAAATTCTTGAAATTTTCATGCACATTAATTTGGGGGAATGAATGAGGGTTATTATTTAGGTGCAATTTCCAAACCCAATTACTTCAAATATTAACCAAATGAAGTATCAAAATTATGCATAATTACTTCAAGATTTGTCTCTAGCACGTTGTTTTCTAAATAAACGTAGTAAGAGAGAAAAGAATATGTTCCAAAGCAATGTTCTAAAGAATATGTTCCAAAGAATATGTTCCAAAGCAATGTTCTAAAGAATATGTTCCAAAGCAAGTCGTCGAACAAAGACCCAAACGCCCAAAGCCTTGCAATCACGCAATTCATCAAACACCTAAATGGATAAAACAATTCCAAAAAAAAAAAGAAACAACAATTCAATGGATTGAGAATGATTAATACCATTAGCAGTAATTCATTCATAAATGTTGTATTGTAAATGAAGATTCTAACCACATTTAAATATAAATTTACCAATTTTAATGGTAGGTGCCACTTGATAGTAAGCAAAACATAGCACCACCCAAGAAAACAAAGAATGGCCACTGTGTGCTTGGCCTCTAATCAATGGAGCAATTAAGTTTGTTGGATCTTTTGCATATGACCATGGAATAAAAATATTAGCCATTGAAAGATTGATTACTGGAAAATGTATTGTAAAATTGAGAAACAAATGAGAGAAAAAGAAAAAAAATGAAGGTAGAAAAAGGAAAAAAAATGAAGGTATATTTGTTCCGAAATCCAATCCTCAGTGAAAGCAACATTTTAAGGTTTAGACAAAGCTACATGAGACAACCTACAAAAGAATAAAATAGAATCTTACTAATAAATTTGACAGTGGTGTGACATTGAAAATGACATGACTACGTGAATCCGAGATAATCTACAAAAAAAAAATTAAGACAAAAAAATGTAAATTGCTGAAACAAATGTAAAAACCATGAACATAACAAACTCAAAAAACAAACCACTATTTAGGAGGACACCGTAGCCACTTAAGTTGTGTCGTCACTAGTCGTTGGAGCTACATTGCCGATGGTCGTTGCCTGTCGTGAAGGTCATCGAAAAAATTCATAGATAGACATTAGAAATAGTTCACAAAAAATCAGAGGAGAAGACAAAAATCTAAATCAAAGCATCATTGAACTCAAACTCAAACTCTTCAACTAATTCAAACTCATACACAATCTATAATATAAAATAGGGCGGCTTCAATAAACAAATCTTACGGTCTCAAATCAATTCATCCAACGACCATTAATATCCCTCTCATTTTTTATCAAATTCATCACTTTTCGCCTACAATTTTTTCCAAAAATTTGACCTCTCAATCACCATTTTTGATGGTTCTCTGACAGAAGGGAGGAAAAAAAAAAAAGAGATGGAGGGAGGTGATTGAGAGAGGTCAAATTTTTGAAAAAAATTGTAGGTGAAAAATGATGAATTTGAGGGGAAATGAGAAGGATATTGGTGACCGTTGAATGAATTGATTTGAAACCGTATTTGTTGAAGCTGCCCTGTTTTATATTATAGATATATGTATTGATATTTATGACTTTTTTGTTGTGTTTTATTATAATTATTTATGTATTATCGAATTTATTGTGTTTTCTTTAGTGATTGGTTTATTGTATTAGTTAATTAGTACAGATTACTTAATTAAATTGTTAAAATGATTTAAAAAATAATAATTAAAAAAATATGAGTTCACTCGATTTCTTACCCAATTATTTTGAACGGAATTCAGATAGGAATAGTACACTTAATCAAGTAGGGTAGGCCAAGAAAAAATATTCTATAAAATATCGGGTAAAAAAATAAAATATCATAATTTTTACTCATAAGGCAGGGTGAACACCATTACTTCCATTAGAATATGTCACTCACGTGACAATATAACACAAAAAAGGCAACGGGTTCAATTGATACAATTAAAGAGTTTAGGGACTTAATTGGTATAAAAAATAAATTCATTAACTTAATTGACACATGAATCATAATTTGTAGGTCATATGTGTAGTTTAATCCAACTATTTGTGTCACATGAGTAGCACATTTTGTCATTTCTCTATCGGATGCAAACAGAAGAGCTCAATTGACACAATTAAAGAGTTCAAGGGTCTAATTGACCAAAAAATAATTTAGGGACATAATTAACATAAGAGTTATAATTTAAAGGCTAACGGATTATAATCTCGAGTCGTTTACTTCTTCGATGTTATTGAAAGTTTCTTTAATCCACCAGCTATTTATAGTTGAATTTTTTTCTATTGTATTAAGCTTTTATATGTGTCAGTTCATGATCTATTTATTAAATATTAGCAATGCACGACGTGCATTACATATAAATAATATAAATTAACTAATTATATTTTTATAAAAAATATGAATTATATGTGTGCTTAAATTAAATAATAAATTAGGTGCCAAATAATTCATCCGTATTTTAATTATTGTTAATTTTAATTATTAATTTATTTTATAAATTTGAGTGTCATTTATTTAGGTATGTATCCAACTTCTTTAAGCATTTATACATTTAATTATATTATATAATTATTAATTTTTATTTTGTTAAATAGATTGATTTAATCATTTATAATATTATTATGTTATTACATACCAAAAAAACATATAAAATATATTTCACTGTTTAATTCAGCCTGGTAACTACATGTATATAATAATTTAACATATATATATATTTACTTCTTCATATAAATATATATAATTGTATGTAAGAATACTACTAATAAATGAATTCAAAAGAATTTATAAATCTTTATAAAAGAGTCTTAAATAAGTTGAAAGTCAAATAAATATGAAATATAAAAATTAGACAAAAGTATATAGGTGAGTATAATTGACTTTATCATAATAAATAGAAATAAAATAAAAAATTAATTTTTTTCCCAAATACTAACATTTATAAATAGTATATATATAAATATAAATAGACCAATCATATACAAATGTATGGGATGTATAATAATTAACCATTTTCTATTTTATTTTTCCTCCTCATTTATTCTATGTATCCAACTATTTGAGAATTTAAATAAAAAAAAAGTTATAGGATAGCAAAAGTAGTTTTTTAAATAAACTTATATACATGATGATTTATTAGTGGAAGCTCGTGGTGTTAATTTGGAGTACATGGTAAAATTTGATTATTTTGATTTCTTACTAAATAGTTCAAAACTTAAAAAAATAGAAAAAGAGAGAAATCTTTTTCAATGAGGTATTCTTCTATATATATTTAATAGGGATAACCCATGTTTGAAGACACGATGCAACTAAAAAAAATCAAACATTGAATTTGAACGCAAAATAATCAAGTACTGAATTCGGACACGTACTAAACTGAAAGTCTAAACTCATCCTATATCGCCCTATACAGTGTACATAGTTCTTAAATACGAAATAATCAAACAATAAATATAACATACATTAAGCTAACAATCGCTTGATCATTTTTAATGTCATGACTTTAGTGAAATAAAAATAGTTAAAATGTAGATACTCTGTCAAATTTTTGACAAAATATCCTCTAAAAATATAATGTCACAATATATATAATATATATATATATACTATATATATATATATATATATATATATATATATATATCTATCTTAATCACAATCAAATATTGTCATATGTACACTGAAATCCAACTATGTACTAATTACCACAACACCATTCTTTTTAAATGCAAAAATTTGATAGTTCAATGGAAAAAATCGGACAAAACTCCATGAGACACGAAAATGAGAAATGAAAAAGTAAAATGTGGTTTACTTTATCATCGTAAGTACAGTCTCCATTGTGACTTGCACCTGTTGTAAGAGACAATAATAAAAATAACAAATTGAGTTATTTAAACAACTAATTTCAAACCAAACCTATTAAAATTACAATTATATCACCTACACATATCGTTCAGAAGCTATTTAGATAGATTTCCAATACATATTGCCAAACAGGCAAACATAAATGGCTACAAACTTTTTTTACATGAATATCTTGTTATATGCACACTGAAATCCGGCGACTCTTCTTTACAATTTCGGCCGCAGTGTCCTATAAGTGAGTCAAAATCCATCAGCCCAAATGAGTAAGGCAAAGATACATTGAGCACATCAAACACTTAAAAAAAAAAGGAATTACAGAAGAAAGCAAATTAACAGGAAAAAGCAGTAAAAATATAATTCACCTTCTTATGTCATTTCCTGTACATAGCAGTGCAGGTAAGCTTCGATGACTTCAGGTAGTTGTGGAAGTACCTCTTGCATTTTGAATTGGTGAAGAGGAAGACTTCAATTAAAAACACGGTGAGTATAAGTCTCGTGCACAAAAAAGATTGAGGAGGAAACTAAAAAACCTGTCTACAGCACAACAGACAGAATTAAAAAAACAAACACCACAAATGAATAACTAAACTCTCAAACTCACTATCATTATTTCAAAATCGAACATCTTGAAGGCAATTAACATAACTCACCTGCGAGTCTGAGCGAACAAATCTGATGCCTCTGCCAGGGTATATTTGGCACCGCTGAAGCGGCAAAGTTCAGTCCTGATGAGCCATTAAGTACTGAATTAATCAGCTCTTCATTCAAAACACAAATATTCATGAAATCAAGCAGTGGTTTCAAATTGGAAAAGGCCTATATTGCCTAGGGATATCCCGTGCCTGAATAAAGGTTGCCAAATTCATCCAAACTAAATAAAGGTAGCCAAATTCAAACCCACCAAAAAAAAAAAAATACAGAGACATGAAATCCTAGTCAAATAGATACATGAAAAACGAAGATATAAAGGGCTAATATATTTTTAATATACAAAAAAAAAAACTCATGTTTTTTTTTTTTTTTTGCAATTTTCATCGAACTCAACTCACAATCAAAAACCTCAAATCCACATAAGTACGTACCTATTAAAAAAAAAAAAAAATCTAATAGTCGCCAATCATATGACATGCCTTAAAAAATTCATACATGCTTTAAATTTTTTTTCATTATTAAGGTTTCATCTTAAACAAATGTATATGACAAAATCCACAACAAACACAAACCCATAAAAACAAAACTTCAAGACAACAAATCAAGAATTTAAAATCAGCATTTCATACCAAACCACCAAAACCAACCATTAACATTCCATGCCCAAACATAGCATATGCCATTTTATATTTGGCACCTTCAAGGACTTCATTTCATCCAATGCCGCAAGGATTTCCATCTCACTTATTCAGTCCAACATTTATTCTCCAAACACTTCACTGTGAGGAAACCAACAAAAATAAAAAAATGACGAACGGTAAAATTGCGGGTAACCATGTTGCATAATTCACATAAAATATTTCAAATATGATTCTAGGTATACAACAAAAGTTCAACACAAAGCTTGGTTCTAATATTCAAAGCATAAATTAATGCATGAATTAGGATAACTACTCATTTCATCAATAGATTAATGCCTGAAAATAAAATAACTACCAACAAGGGGTAGTAACCACAATAAACAGCAAAATCTAATCATAAAGTAATATCCAAACTGAGCTTCTATGATCTTTATGAGTTCATGCAACAAAAGGTCTATTGAGTACACAAAAGCTAAACCAAATCAAGTACCAAAAGTGTGCACATTATTCATTATTTCAAGTAACCACATTCCCATTAGATTCACAAAACAAACTACGTGTAGCAACGGAACTGTTGTGAAATTAATGTCGTTAAATAGTGAAATTTATGAAATTGAGATTAGAATTTGATGGAGAATTGGTGATAGGCTATATAATTAGAAAATTGACAAAACATCAAATCAAACTACATTATTCAGACATCATCTCAGTTGAAGGCCATCATCAAAGCTAAAATTCCTAAATAACACAATGCAGCTAAGTTTCAAAATTATGGAAAAAAGATACTGAGCGGTGTGATTTCTCATCGCCAAAGGAAATACATTCATGACATCTCTACTTGAAAATATATCCTAACCAACCAAGAAAAAAGTACACTTAGAATTATAGTGTAAGCCAATTAGAATAACCAAAAATATGAAGACTAACAGAAGTATGGGAAGCAAAAAATAGAATACTAACCAACAGGAAAATCATTCAGTGAGATGTCATAACACAGACCCACAAATTTTATTCATTTTACACCCATAAATACAGTTATCGTATTGAAATACAGTTATCGTATTGAAATACACTTACTGCCTTAACTCTTATAGGAATGCACTTATGAAATTAAGAATCTGAATTTCATAAAATTAACAGGACTAAACCATCAAATCAACATAAAGATAGTACATTACTTAACATTTAAACAAACCACCATAAATTTGGTAATGCATTTTCTTTGAAGCAAACTATCAAACACGTGGTGGGTGTTGATGATATAAAGGGGTAGAGGCAGAGTAGGAAGGGGAGAATGAGAGAGGTAAGAGAGAAGTGGTCTGTTCAGAGTAAAACATGAAATGATCAAAAAATTCAGAGTGAAACAGAGGTCCTTCTATGTCAACCTTTCTCATCTCCTTCTCTCTTTCTATGCTTTTCGTCTGTCTCTATGTTTGTTGTAGTCGTCCTAATGCCACTATTATGAGTAAGATTTGAGATTGAGAGAAGATTTGAAATGAATTTCATGTGATAGAGGCGTGATTGATTGGGAGAGAGAGAGAGAGGCGTGAGAGAGATAGAGACAGAAGTGAGAGGAAGAGGCGTGAAACAGAAGCCTCTATTGGCCGAGAAAGAAAAATATAGGATTCATTGTTTACCGTTAGATGATAATTTTTGGGATGATATGAACTGTCTTTTATGTTGAGACTACATTATTCGTTGGATGTATTTATATTTTGTTTCAAAATAATCTGAATTTTTTTGTCTTTTGAATTTAAATTTTATTATATTTTATTATATAAATATATAATAAGGGATAAATAATTTTAAAATTTTAATTTATCTTAAACTTTTGGCGATTGAAATCATTTTTAGACTTTTGATTTAAATTCCTAAACTCTTTTAAAACATTTTTGCGTTGAACAATTTCAAGAGTCCTATAATTCCAAGACTCTAATAGTGTGTTTGGTTTGATAAAAAATTTGTTGGATGGAAAATAGAATAGAAAGAAAGACATTCCATTATTTGGTTACAAATGAAAATAGGAAAAGAATAAAAATTAGAGGACCGTATTTCTCTCAAGCCCACCATTTTTTCCTCTCCGAAAAGTGGGAGAAAAGTGAGAAAAAAATTGAAGATAAATTATTTATTTGAACAAATTGTTTTTTTTGCTCTTAATTATACTTCTAAATATTATGCCATATTTTCAAATTAAAACGTGCACATTTCTTAAAAAACACTTATAAATATTCTATTACATATTTTTTCCTATGTGTGTTTTTTGACTATTATTTTTGATATACATATCTATATTTATTTATTTTTATAACTAATTAAAGCGATACTGAATTTTTAGATAAAAAATATTTTTATATGTAAAATATAATGATAAATTAAGTATATATATCTTTTTTTTTTACTTTTTCTTCAAATTTAAATAATAAATTAATTATTCTAATTTTTCATCTATCATACCAAATACAAATGAAAAAAAATATTTTTTTTTCTCTAATAATAGAAAATGTATTCATCGTATTTTTTTTATCCATAGTTCAAATCATTTTAAATTACTCTGAATTTGATCTGGGGGCCGATATTAACTCTCCATATTCTCTCTCCTCTCCCCCAACTCACGCGTCCAGATTTATTTCCTTAATTTTTTTCTCCGTCTCCCTTTCGCTCTCTCTGCTTCGTCTCCCTTTCTCACGTTGCCCTCTCTGTCGTCTCCCTCTCTTCTCCGCTGTCACTGGAGCAAGCCGTTGCCAAATCAGCCAGTTGCCGCGGAAGCAGCAAGACATCCAGGTACTCCCTCTCTCTTCTATCCCTCTCTTTGTCCCACGCCGGAGCAGTAAGCTATCCCGTTCCCCTGACACTCACACACACACGTCAAAGTAGCAAGGCATCCGGGTTGTTGCTTGATTCTTGTTTCAATTTGTGTCTTTTGGGATCCAAAAAATCCTAGATCTTGATTGATTTGTGCTTCAATTTTGTTAATTTGCTAGATATATCATTCATGTGAAGCATAAAAGACCTTATTGGGTATGTGTGTAGATCGGTTCTGTTTTTGAGTATGTGAATCAACAGCCTGTTATTGGAGTTCTGATCCTGGATAGTGTGTTTTATGCTCCATTGCTTGGTTGGATTCTTTGAATTTTCCTGAATCCTCACTTCCGTGTATCTTTGTAGATTCTTTCATGTTATTAATGTCTACATGAATAAGAAAACACTATTCGATGCTGGTTTCAGCTGAATAAATGTGAAATACAGGCATCCCAGTGGTTCATATCAGTTCAAGCTGCTAACAAGGAATCTCTGACACACTTCAAGTTTGTATGTCGTCGTGTACATATTAATGGAGTCGTATTGTTGGTGTACGAACTGCTACGTATCAACTAAGCTAGAAACTTCACCTCCTCACTGAGTTACGTTGCAATCCTATGGGGAATGTAGAGCATCTTATGGGAAAACATTGGTTGAGAATTGAATTAATGGAAGGTTCCCACAATTGCTTGAGTAAAACGCACTCACTTTTATGATGCTGGTTGTTTACTTGAGTCTTGATTAAGGGTACCGGTGAATTTATAGTCATGCATTGGTTGGTTAGTGATACCTAATTACGGTGACTTTCCCATGTGTTGCTCTTTCGTGTTTGATCTGTGCATTATTTTTTTTCTCTTTTACCTTTGTTTTTGTTGTTTAATTTACTTGTAGACATTAAAGTAATGCAATATTGTTGGTTGTCACCACTTTTTGTAATTGTTATAGCCTAAGGCTAATAAATGTAATGCAGGAAGTAAAAAAAAAAAGAGAAGAAAGTTGTAATTTCATATATATTTGAACAAAGTTTGTGCCTATGTTTCAATTCTATTATTTTTATGATTGTAGATCCTTGTGTATGGTAGGAATAATTGTTTTAGAAGCATTCATCGTTGTACCTAGAGTTTTTATTGGTATTGTGATAAGGGAAGTGTAGTGACCGAATGGTTATTTAAATTTCAGAATTACATACTAATGGACATTGTTTTTTTTGATGTTCTGGTTCTTTTTTTTTTTCGTTTGTATTGCCTAGAGTGATCTGATTTTTTATTTTGTTGGGCATTGGTTTTCTTGATATCTTGGTTTTTTTTTTTTTTTTTTTTGGTAATATTGGATGGGCTTGAACAGATTTGTTATTTTCTGGTAATTTGTGTTTTTGTTAATTTTGTTTGTCTTGGGATTCTAGAGGATGCGTATACCATATGAAAATTGTCTCTAGATGGTGCTATTTAAATCAATAATTCCTCAGGTTGTGTGGATTTAATTATTTGCATGTTTACAACATTTGGTTGTAGCGTGATTGATTTAAGTTGTATTTCTTGATATTGTTCAACGTCATGTTTTTTGTTTTGGGCATATACAATTGTTTAAGATTTTTTTTTTTCGAGTGCAATTACTAATAAATATATATTGTAGTCAATCTAGTTGTTACTCAAATCAAATAAAATCAATTGTAGGGATCGTTTTAAGGGGATTTTATACCCTTATATTTTCAAAAAAGAAGAGAAGCTTTAAATTTTTTGAATGATGAGTATTTATTCATGATTAACATTTTTTTATTTTATTTAAGATCTTTTTGAATTTTAAAACTTAAAATAACTTGGCTTTTTTTTTTTATCGCAATATACATAGAGGAGTGAAGCTAATGAGATTCAAACTTCATATCTAGAGGCAAGGTTTTGCAAAGACATCTTGACTAGTTCTCTCTTTACTCTAATAAATTTAATTTTATGACATGCATAAATTCTTATTATTCAAAATACATTATTTTTTTTATTCATTTAAAAATTGGAGAGATACCAAGTCCACTTAAATATGGAAAGTCAACCACTGAACGGTTGGTTCAGTGGCTAAGAATTTCAATTTTCTCGTTCAATGCTTGAGTTTGAGTCCCCATAGGTACGGTAGCTCGGTGGGGTTAAACCTACTTTTCAGTACCCACAATATGCGATCATAGAATATTACCTAAATTGTGGGTTGCTTTTGGTATGGGTACGGGTACATGGTACGACACTTTTTTAAGTACGCGGTATGATGGTTGTAGGTTTAGCTAGTACAATGTTTTGAGTCGCAATTCGTTTTGGAACTCTTATTTAGATCGTTTTCATTATCACACAACATTATATATTACAAAACATTCATAAACACTAAGTTAGTTATTATTTATCTTATAATTGTACTTGATTTTTTATTATCTAAAACAATATATAATTATAAATTTATATACATTTAGTCAATTAATATGTATTTTATATTTGTGCTACATATTCTTAAGCGAATTAATTTAAAGTTAGTATTATAATTTGGGGTCGTCCATTTTGGTGATCTGAATCGCGAACTCACCTTGTTTGGGATCAATGTACCAAGATCGTGAGTCGTTAAGGGTTTAGTGAATTGTGGTAACCATTAAGACCTTAGTTTTGGCTTAGGTGCGGTGAGATCTCCTGCATTGCTGTGGAAGAAAAAAGGAAAGTCGATGCTTTGGGTCAATTAGAGATTCATTGCAAACCAAAAGGACAAAATGGGATACTCGTTCGATAAATCATGAAAATTGAGAAAATAAAGGGGGAGAAAATTGAAGAAATTGCAAAGGCAAAAAGCAAAAAAGAGGAATCCACCCAAGGAGGGTCTTGCGTCTGATTAGCTAGTTAGTGAGGCAATAGTTTACTAAGATGATGATCAGTAGCTTGTTTGAGGGGATGATCAGCCCCACTGGGACTGAGACATGGCCCAGACTCTTGCGGGAGACAGAAGTGGGGAATTTTTTGTAATGGGCGGAAGCCTGACGGAGCAATACCGCGGAATATTTGATGGAAGAACGGGGGATCTTTTTGAACAACTTGTAATAATAGGAAAGTCTTATATCTTGAAATTAATTGATCAAGTTGATGATAAAATCCATGGACGTTCCAGTGGACATTATGCACTTGTTACACAACAACCCCTTAGAGGAAGAGCCAAGCAAGGGGGACAATGGGCAGGAGAAATGGAGGTTTGGGCTCTAGAGGGATTTGGCGTTGCTCATATTTTACAAGAGATACTTACTTATAAATCTGATCATATTAGAGCTCACAAGGAAGTACTTGGTACTACAACCTGTCGCAAGGTTGGAGTTCCTTTGCTTGCAACCCGAAGAGTAAAACTAAAAACAACTCTTCTGTTCATTCTCAGTTATTGGTATAACCCTTTGTGCACAGAGTATGTAAACGTTTAGCTATATTGCTTCCACTTTTGTTGTTTACTACTCCTATTTGAATATGTACTCTTGTTCAGTATTGCTTGATCTTTTTGTGTTAATTATTTCTTGCGTTTCCGAAGTGTGAAAGCAACTAGGTTTCTGTAAATGTCATGATTTATTCGTATTAGTATTAGTATTCTGGGTCAATATCTGCCGATGTTATTGAGTTGAGATCTCGAACCAAAATTCTATTTCTCATGATCTGGTCTATTCTGTTTGTTTTTTTGATTTTAATATTGTTTTTTAAGATGCTTTTATGGGTTCTCACTCAAAGATCATGCGAAGCACCTTGATTTTTTAAATTCTTTGATTGGGTATCTAGTATGTTAGTTGGTTGAATGGTCATAGCTCATGAGAATTTTTGATGGCAGACAATTTGTCCATTCATAAATTGTATGAAGATATAGTAGTGGCGGAGTGGGAAGCAAAATTGATGTTGCTGTGATATTTTAAGACAACAGTATAGGTGAAATTAAGATATGAATAGTTTTGCATCATTTCTTGTTAATATCAGAGGATTCTATTGGAATTGTGGTGACCTCATGACATTGCCGGAGAGGTGACGTGGACTGACAATTCGGATATTGCACATAAAAGCTTCATAAAATGCTACTGTTCCTAATTCTGCCCAATTTTTTTGTTATATGGTTCTTCCGAAATGAATCTATGCTTAGATGGTGGTTGTGAACAGGATATTAGAGTGGATGCTCAACAATTGACTCTATTTAATTAGGCTTCTTATTCCTTTGTGGGTTTTAGGATTTTGGCATGATGATATTGGAGAAATGAAGCTCCTTTTCCTGTTGGTGGTTACTGATAACAGATAACTGAGCAGATACAACAAAGCAAAGATGTTTTCCTTATTCTATGGACTTTGGAAGTATATATTCAGTAAGACAGAGTTTCATGTTCTTATTCTCGGGATCGACAAGGCTGGCAAAACAGTAAATATGTTCACTAGTTTTATTGCATTTTTATTGTAGTTCCTGAAATATTGTTATTTGCTTCATAATCACACCCACTTCAATTTCAGGTCATTTCATGATTTTGCATTTAGTTATCCCTGCACATATTTGTTGTTTTATCTTACCCATTTTAACATTGATGGATTTTTAGACATTCCTGGAGAAACTGAAGTCACAATATTCAAACTCAGAAGGCCTGCCTCCAGATCGGATTATTCCAACTGTGGGACTTAACATTGGTCGTGTTGAAGTGTCAAATACAAAGCTTGTCTTTTGGGATCTGGGAGGACAGGTAATTAACCTGCCATAAGACCGATTATGAACTAGTTTCACGAGTTCATTGTATTTTTACACTTATTTTAGTAAATCATAATAAAGATACCCTACTATTTCCCAAAGTTCCAAATGTTGTTTCCTCGCATCATAATAATGGTGCTCCAATTTATTCTTTCATGACTGCCATTCTGCTGCTGCTAGATCCATGGCTATATGAGATTTTTACATCTGTGGTCAGTCTTTTTCTAACTTTACTGTGTTCATTCACTAGATTAGCTGATCTTACGTGATTATTTTTGCCTCCATCGGGATCTAAATGCTTTTTGTGCATAGATACTTAAAAAATGGCAACCTGCAACAAAGAGCTTGTAGATGTTTCATTGCTCTAGATCCATGAACCAAAGTTGGGGGACCTTACCTTCACCTTATCAGAAGAGCTCTTTGACATGAATGAAAAATTCAAAATTTGTTTTCTTATAACTGGAAATACCTGGATAAATTTATTCTGGACTAGGTTTACCAAAAACTGTGAAGGTCATATAAGAAGTACGCAAATCCGAAAAGGAGGTTTTATAGGATTTAAGAATTGGGGCTTCTCAAGTGTTTGTAATTGTTTCTTCAATTACACTTAACTATCTTATCAGAAAATGTTAAAGTTTACTAGCTACAAGAGTTCAATTAGATTTAAGCAACTAGATTGAGGCTTTTCTGACTCTCTCTGAGGGGGTTATATACTAAGCAGGCTGGTTGATCCCTCTCATTTAATATCTTCTGGTGCAGTATTTGACTGTCTGTTACTAAAGCAAAGCCTTTGTTCTATCAGCTTGGTCTTCGCTCAATTTGGGAGAAATATTATGAAGAGGCACATGCTGTAGTCTATGTTGTTGATGCTGCTTGCCCATTGCGCTTTGAAGATTCAAAATCCGCACTTGGTAATTCCTGTTTCATGCATCTAATTTTGTGGGTTGTATAGCCCTCTCAGGCTTTTAAGTGAAGTATTTTGATTATATCCTCGAATTGAATTATTACTTTCGATTTGGTTACCAGAAAAAGTTCTTCGGCATGAGGATCTTCAAGGAGCCCCTCTTTTGATATTAGCCAACAAGCAGGTGATTAAGCTGTTCTTGCCTCTTTGGCTTAGCCCCAAGGGAGAGAGGAACTGAGGTCTTGTTTCGAGAGGAAATGCAAACATTTTGGTTGTTCAAACTTCTGATTTAATTTTAGGAGATATCATCCTTGTCTGTGTAATATTGTAGGGATATATATCCAACTTTTGCTCTCTTTTGGATATGTTATTTTTGATCAGAAACTTCTGTGCCAGGATCTTGCTGATTCCGTATCAGTGGAAGAACTTGCTCGCTATCTTGATCTAAAAAAGTTGGATGAAAGGGCTTACACTTTTGAAGCTGTTTCAGGCTATGATGGGTGAGTAGATAGCTAGGGAATTTTAATGTCTTGCTGGTAACTTTGTGATCCATACATTTGCTAGGAAAATGAAGGTATATGGAAGAAAATTTGGAATCCTGCAACCATTTAAGATTGAATGATGCTGTTTAGATTCCAAGTTTTCTTCTTTTCATTCATCTCAAGTAGAGTAGATGAACAAAATTGTAAATTGTCAGTTTTTGGATTTATCATTGCAGGATGGGGATTAAAGAGAGTGTAGAGTGGCTAGTAGATGTTATGGAGCGAAGTAAGAGAACTGAAATGTTGAGAGTTCGTGCTGGCATAACAAATCCTGGTTCGGTTTAGAAGAGACTATACCTATTTTATATTTCATTTTGTCACTCTTGCAACTTCTGTAAGTAATTCAGGGTTCAACCAGAATCCTGCATGATTGGAACTTGATCAATTGATTACACCTTGAGGCCAAATAGTGGTTTTCTGTTTGTGTTACTTGAGTGAAATTGATGTGATCACAATTTCCAAAAAGAGAATTTGTGATTCTTGTCTTATGAGTTGTAATACAATGGAACAAGTGAAAAGACATCTTTGTGATTTTAAATTAAAAGATTTTGCTTCTATTGGGTGGTTGCTGTCAAGTTATTTACGCATGGGGGTAAAATATCTCCATTTTGTATGCTTATTGGTTTGGAAACTTTAATTCCCCTATTTTATATATTTGCTAGTTTAAACCTTGTTATGGCTAAGCTCTCTCTCTCTCTCTCTCTCTCCCTCTCATAGGAGGTGATTTTTTTTTTTTTTTTTGGGGGGGGGGGTGTGTGTGTGTGTCGGGGGAGGGTTCTAGCACCACATTGCAGCCAATGTAAACTTACCTCAACTACCAAGTTTCTCTTCCCAAGTACCCAGGATCATGTAGGTTGTCTTGGATGCACTGAGAAATGATGTTTCAATCTATTAGACTTATATTTGCTGCCCAATAATCTTTCATGAAATGAAATAAACATGAATGTTCAATTTCAAAGTGCAAAATCAAAGGAAAAAACATAGAATTCATCTAATCACAACGCCAGATTCCGAAGTAACAAGAAAACCCATGGACTCTCAGTTGATCTGTTGGCATCCAAATACATACAGTTGACATCAAATGTCTCGATCCCTCGACTTTTCCAGAAGCACGAACAGATGGATTTCATGATTATTCGTTCGGCACAAGAAAACCTGGAGCACCCATTCTTTCTTTCACATTTGGATGAGAACCTGAATTGGAAAGAAAAATGCCTTCGTTTACAAGTTCATTTTGCTCTGTAAAAGTATAGCTAGAGAGAGTCCTAGACAATGAAGTGTATAAGCCCGTATTGTCTAAATGAATGAAAAACCACATGTCATAGAACTAAAAGGAAGCAGATGACCCCAGAGACATGAAATAACTAAGAGCCTATTGCCAAAAAAAATAAATAAATAATACCAACTCTCCAATACAGAAGCAGTAAATCAGAGCAGTAAATAAAGTTCACACTCATCAAAATCATAACTAAGGCTTTAAGTATCTTTTCCAACGGATTAAGCAACTTGTGCAAAGCCTTCATCCTCGTTGGCGCTTCTAAAGTAGTAAGTTCCTTAATTTCTGGTTGAAACAGGTTGAAAACATAAATGAAAGTCATCTTTCTGCTATTTGCATAGGAGCTGTTCTTCAAAATGACGCTGTTTTGAACTCAAAATGACATGTTCAAAACGCTGTTGTTTTCAGATATAACACAGGTGCTGTATAGTAGAGGATCCTCACCCCCTTTTTTCTGTGTTTTTTTTGGGCTACTCCAACACCAGAACACCACCACAAAATCCCCTGTTCTAGAACCCCATCAATGCCCCAATTGATCAAACCCAACTCATCTCCTCTGACCACTGTGCTCATTTCCTCTACCCATCTTCCCTCCTATCCCTCTCAACACAGCCTGCTACTCCTCTTTCCCCCACGCTAATAAAATTCTCTCATGGTTATATCTCTTGTGTTTAATTGAGCTTACACATCAATTGTAATGCTGTTTGAAACCATACTCTTATGTTTAATTGAGCTTACACATCAATTGTAATGCTGTTTGAAACCATGTATTAGATTCACCATCCATACCTACCATATGAACCCTACTAGAATATTTATAGACTAAAATTAACCCTACTAGAATATTTATAGACTAACATATGCTTGAATTTTAATATTGTATTTTTGAGTAAAAATACTCAAAAATACAAATGTCCATTAAAATAAATAAAAGCTTACTGGATATTAGCGCCTTTGGTCTGGCCTTGAACAAAATCCGGTGGCGAATGATTCCGATAACCTCCAACTCTACCCTCGATGATTCAGATTCGGTTTTCTCATTTGCACCTAAAAGTTTGATTTTCTTCAATACTAACATGGGTTTCTTCAAGGGCACTTTTGATCCAGTCAATTCATGATAACCAACGGTGAAAGTGTAATTTCCCTGAACAAATTTCAAAAAAAAAAAGAACTCAAAATCTGCAATTTGGGGCAGGAAACTTTTGGGAAACCTTGGAATGGGAATTAAAACCTGAGAAGAAGATCGGCAAAGTACTCCGATTTCGAGGTTTTGGAGACGATCTTGAACGGCAGGCTGAGCTTCAACTACGCCTTGCAGTTCAACAATTGCCCATTCTGGGCAGTTTCCTTCCCCACAACTACACTTCACCTTGATCTGCATCACTCTCTCTCACGCACACACCTCCACTCAACAAAAACAATTGACAAAAAGCTCTAAATGATCTATAGATAGAACTATTGATAGAGATGAAGGCAAAGAGGGACGTTTGAAGACTAGGGTTTGATGTTAAGCAGGTTGAAACGGAGAGAGAACGGCAGATTGGGGGCTTTGATTTGGCGGCAAATTAGAGCTTGGCGCGAGTCTATTTCTAATTTAAATAGACGAGACAAAACGCAGCTCGTTACCCGGATCACAATTTTGTTTTGATAGAAAATAAAAATTTATGTTAAAAAATCTCAAACTATTTCAAAATTTTTAAATATTTTTAATTATTTAAATTTTAATTCAATTAATAATTCGTTTGAATATCTTTAAAAATAAGGGTTAGTCGTAAATTACATTCAAAAAATCGTTCGAATTTTAATTTGTACCCAAAGAAAAAAAATTTTAATTTGTGCCCTCAAATATATAAATTTTTATCAATACGAACATGAAACTAACAATCATCAGTTTGTTGTTTAAAATTAGTTGGATAAGTTACACTTAAACCATTTCAAGGAGTAATATTCCTATACATTTTCACGTTTGTGCACGTGTAACACATAAATAATTATCATTTGTATTTGTTAATATAATCGTTAAAAACTTGATTTCATTCTAATAAAAAATTATAATTTTTATAATGTCTTTTATTTTTGGGTCCGTTATATTCTAAAGTTCAAAATTAAGTTTACCATTTGAATACTCAATATAATGTAGGTATTTATATAATGTTTATTCAATACAATATATCATTTAAATAGAATTATTTGGATGCCCAATTGGGGTAATATTTTTAGTCATATTTACATTCTCAAGGGATTTAAGTGTAATATTTCAAATGTGAGGGGTCTAAGTGACTAAGTGAAAAACATGAAAAAATCTAGGTGTAATTTATCCATTTAGTTTTAGACGAAAAACTGACAGTTATTAATTTTAGGTACGCATTTATATATATATATATTTGAAGGTACAAATTAAGATTTTTGATCTTTAAAAGTACAAATTAAAATTCGAACAATCTTTCGAAATGCAATTTGCAATTAACCCTAAAATTAAAAACATTTTAATTTTTTCAAAATAAATTTTTGATATTAGCTCATTTAGCGGTTTAGGTCAAATAAACTTTAGAATAAATTACCCACAAAACACCCTAAACTATAAAAATTACTTTCATGTTGTTATTAAATTGAATATTGTTCAATTTGAGCTCTTCAAATAGGCATAGGTCGAAACAATCCCGACGTTGATGACCTATTTTTGACAAAATCAGGATAGAGATTAGTTGAGGTGCCTATAAGTTAACTGTTGAACCAAAAAATAAATGCTACCATCAATGACAGGTAACTTGAACATGTAATAAAAATGAATGATATGATTCTTTTAGAGAAAAAAATATGTAAAGAATAAAAATTCAAGTTACTGTGTATTTTATTATATAGATATATTATCAGGTTATCAACAGAATGACTACTTTAAAAGGCATACAGTGAAGGCAAGAGAAAAGCAGGAAAATACTTGGCTAAGTGCAAAATGGATATAAAAGCTATCCTTAAACTTGAACGTGGATGCAATTGGGGACATCAGATGAAAAAAGCATCAGTTCATCAATTGAAATTACAATCGTACAACATCAGTGGACTCAAGCTAACCAGAAACTAATGGAAACTCTCTAGAACAATGTATCCCCATGGAAGATTATTATGATCAGTGACAGTATGTGTCAATACAACGACAAAGAAACGTTCTAAAAACCTGGAAGAATTCTACATGGTTACGGATGAATTCCTACTAGATTGGCTGTTGATCTTTGGTGTTCACCATCAACTGCAAATTTTAAGCTAACATTTCTGGAATGCAGTAACATAGGCGCTAGCTACCGTGCCTGTTGTTTATATAGAGGCCTCTCTGCAGTGTGGAATTGCTGGGGTGAGAGATGGGCTTGGGAGAAGTCATTATGTAAACTAACATTTGGGATTGTTGAGCCATTGCGCCCTTGGGAATTCGATGAGCTGAGCTGCTTCTGGAAGTAATTTTGAAGCTGCAGATTATCGTCTACTGGGATTTCGCCCTTGAGAGTTTTTATGGCAAATTCAATGCATGGGTCTGTCCATGAATCTCCGAAAGGCAGGTCCAAAGAAGATCCTTGATTATCAGGAGGCAAGTCAATATGAATACTTGGATTCTCATCAGCCCGGTTTTCATTCCCTATTGGAATTGCCCCAGTGAGAGTCTTTATCGCAAATTCAATACATGGGTCCACTTCCATCCAGGAATCCGTCAAAGACAAGCCGATAGGCGATCCAGGCTTGTCATCATCGTTATTATCAGTTTCAACCTCTCCAACATGCTCTTTAGGAATAGACGAATTTTCTAGAGGCAAAATAATAGGGCATTTTTGCTTCTCATCAGTCCTATTCTCCTCTACTTCTGCCTTTCTAATATGTTCTTCTGGAGTAGCCAAGTTCTTAACATTCTCAGAGCTACTGGCTTCAGCCTCACCAGACTGTTTATCTGCAACTCGACAAGCTTGACTAGTGGTTCTCAGTTTGGACGTTATACCGACCTTGATCCCAGCAAGTCGTTTCGATGCCCGACAAGGTAAGTCATTTAATTTGCTTATCCCATGTCGCGTCTTTCTACTCAAAAGTCTTTTCACCCCATTTTCTGATGGTTGCTGTTCTGCAGGGGCCGCAACTGCAGAAGCAGATACATAAGTGCATACAGAAGAATCACTTTTCCCTTTTCCTTGCTCCAAACAATTAGTTTCTGGCAGCTTAACACTGTCCATTGCTGCACCTTTGCTACCTGCAGCATCACAAATTCATTTCACTATAACCTAGCAGTATAATATATAATTACTCCAAATTGCAAAGCTGTACTTGCATCTCTCATCCAACTTTACACTCTACATACAATAAAAAGTTGACTACTAGGGCAACTTTTCTATGGGTATGTGTACTGTATGTGTTGCCTCATTATTAATGGAAAACAAGCATTTTCATATCGGTGAGCAGGACTTTTAGTAAAAGAAACTTGCAGAGTTTCCACATTTCGAGCAGTTTCAAATTCCGCATAGTTGAGATTAAAAAAGTAACAAAATAAAAAATGTTTGCACAAATATCCAGCAGAAACCCAGAAAGAAAATGATGAGCAAGTAAAGGAACAAAGTTAGCAATAAGTATACAATATAGTAGTCTGTTGTCAAGTTGCAACTTGAACTTTACACTGATCAGAAGTTTGCTCAGAGAACTGGATGAGATCACCTGTACAGTTGGATTTAAGGATTTGTTCATCCTCCACTGCTACACCCAACTTCAACCTCTGATTCCTCGTAAGTCGTCTATCTGTTACTCTGTCTACTACTTTATGCCCTTCAGCTTCAGGAGTTGACTAGGAAAGGAGCAAAATAGAAGACATAAAATTTCTTACTCTTCATGATCCAATACTTCATTTCAACGGGGTTTTAAATGGCATTGCACAAAATGATGGAAAATTTTATAAAGGCAAGCAAAGCATCGAGTAACATATCACACCCTATCTGACGAATATAACCACAATAAATAACACAATTTTTCTCAATGGGAAATATCAAAGGACATAAAATCTGTCCACTATTGAGTTTGAAAATCAATGCTTTCTCGCTAGAGTCTTGACCTCATGAGCATGTCATATACCATAAATGGTTACCAAAAGATAATTAATGACAAATATGAAATATCCAGATCCAGCCCTAATAGCATTTCACCGATTGAAAACTTGCACCAGATACAATAAAGTCTAGATGCCATACAATTACAATAGTACTGAGCAGACATAGACGATAACACTTCAACATCAGACAGTTACCAAATTCCAACATTGCAGAGCAGGCATAAGAGTTACTAAGTTCCAACATGGTAGAAAATAAGCCAAATAATTGCACAAAACATCAAGTGGCCTTCCAAACTCTTCACTAATGTTGCTGGTGAAAAAAGATAAAACACCACAAATAAGGGATGCAGCCCTGGTTGAGAAAGCCAAGACAATCATTGGACGATCTGAATATGGTTGGATGGTGCCACCTACTACATAGGCCCCTTTGTGGAGTCAACTTGGTGCAATGTAGCGTAAGTAACCTATTTTCATCCAATTACTGATATCCATAAGTTTGTGTGCCATAATGAACTGTAAACCTCTAGGAACTTCATAAACTATTTTTGCACATGAATTCTAGCGCCAATTTTCTTCATTCCTATTCTTAAGGTGGCCTGACTAATCATTTTGTAAAGAGGACCCAATGAGTGCACTGACAAAAGCAAAGAAATGAAAATGATAAGCAACAAGAAGGAGGTAATAAGACAGAAACAAATTAATCAGCACACTAACAGGTGGTTTATCATCTCCCAATTCCGCATTTATTTGAAAGCCTTTGTCCTTTGGCTTCAATGCAAGCCTTCCCAGATCTCCAGTTTCAAGGTAGTGGGAAATGCTCTTCATAGAGCGAAATACATATCCAGTTACCGGATCAACATAGTACTGCAGAAATTTTACATAAGTTAACAAGTGTACAGATACTCCACTGGCAGTCCAACAAAAGAAGAACAGAATATGACTAAGTCAAAAAATAACAGATGTGTGCACTATGCAGGCAAGCCAAGACGAGAAACAGGCAAAATTTAAGACAACATGATTTAGAACTTCAAGAACGATCAGTCAATTACATATGTCAAATCACGCATGATGTATATAAGATCAGAAAAAGTAGGACTAAGTACCGGGTCTTTTCTGATCTTGCTTCCATTCTTTCTTACTCTGATTTTCTTTATCCATCCAGGAGGTAACCCTTCTGCTCCGGCTTTCTCAACTCGAAGCTGGATTGTTATAATCAAGATTCATCTTAAAGTAATATGATACCATAAACAAGATTAAATGGCAAAAATAAAAAAGGGATAATGGTAACAAACATTAACTGCAGAGCTCTTGCTGGCAACTTTCGTGTTCTCCTCGGATCTAGGAGAGTTGATTGCTATGCTGCTAAGATAGCGAAGCACCTCTGGCTTGGAATAGAATTTGAGTTCATTCGAGGGATCAGTGTAAAACTACAATAAGAACAAATGGCCATACTTACACTGTTAACATTCGATATGGGTGCTAAGAAAACAGAGAATGAGGAAGAGCGCAAAATAGCTTTTTTTCAATCTCCAAACAATAATGTTAGGAGCATAAAGATGCTTTCATCCTAAGAATATTTCCCATATACTATAAAGTCTCAATATATACTCTTCAATAAAACAATTTAGACAATGAAGGCAAGATCTCAAACACACAAAGTGAATTTACAAGAGAAATGGATACTCCGGAGCTAAAGAATGCTATAAAAAGCATCACTCATAGGGTCAACAACCCTATGCTTGTTTGGTATCAGGCAAGGAGAACTGGAAGGAAGGGAGTCACGAGTAACGTCAAAGGCGTCTTTAGAGAAAAGAAGCTACAATTCTGCAGGGATGTCTAATTGAGCAGAAAGAGAGGAGGAAGGAAAGAAATGAGTGTTGCTCTCTTTTGATACTAAAGGAAAAAAACGTTGTTTGTATGATAAAAACATGTAGAGGCCATCCTTCCCATTTACTTTTATGGCCTGTTGAGGAAAAGTTATGGTGGGTTCAAAGGGAAAGTGCTATCCTCCTCCATTCCCTTCCCACCAATTTTCCTTCCTATAAACTATTGGAACTCTCCACCCCAACCCCACCCCAAAAAAATAAAAATCCCTTCTTCCCACCCTTTTGTCTTACAAACCCAGGGGCAGTGTCTTTGCTACAAGGCACTGTTGAAATTTACAGTCTAGTTCCACTTCTTATGCTGAAAGGGGAATCAACAGGGAATAAAGTGAAGATTAGGAGGTGTAGAGTGAAATTGCATTCCAGGGTACTCCAATGACCAATAAAATTAAATGTCCATGAAAGTTAATCGCTTCCATAATATTTGACTGGACCATCTATTTAAGTGTTCAAGCACCAACAATTCTAGGCATCTAGAACTAAAATGCAAAAAAAATTGAAAATTAACTGTGTTTCTTGCTTAAGAACACAACACACTAGGCTTTTTTGGGGGTCATGAGTGTTCATAGTCTTGTAGTATTTTTGGGATCTCTATTCCAAAAGGAAAACATACTATACAGGGCCTATCAGTTTACTCAATGCCCGTCAATATGCATTCCATTTTGAAAAGGGCCAACTGGCACATCTTTCTTATTTCTTGCCTAATGAGATTACGATCGCTACTATCAATCAATTGCTAACAAGCAGGTATTTGGCCTTTTAAATCACCCCAACTGAACTCTGGTGGAAAGGTTTAGTCCCTTGTCTAACATGCACTGGGCAATGATGTGAAAGCTATCATGGGTAGTGGGATAGCCAATAACCTACTTCAAAGGTGGACGTAATGAATTTGAGCCATCCTCAATAGGGCAATCACAAATATGACAAGTTCATAGTTAACTTTTCTAGTAAATCATTTCACTTTTATTTTTAAAACAGTCTTCTCTAAAACTTACTCCCTCCTCCCCAGAGAAAAACAGAAGAAAACAGCATCTCATGCTTCACATAGTTCTCTACAAGCTCACAACTCCTAATTTTCAATATCTTTTCTTCACTTTTTGGGTCATCTAATGCTTGACTACCTAACATGAACTACTTTTCACATTCGGCAAAGAGTGACTCTGACAACTAATTTTGCCTGGTTTTGCACATTTAATTATCATAGAACACCAAAAAAAAGAAAAGTTCAACTCATATGAAGATAATAACCAGATGAAAACACCATAATAAAAATTCAGATGTAGTGCCGGACTTATATATTTTGTCTATATTGTACTTTCCATTATTGGGTGATATAATGCAGGACTGCTTGCAGTTTGGAGGGGTAAGGCGGCATATCTCGTGTGCACTAGGTACGCCCTTTATAAATTATAATGCATGACTACCTAATATGAACTGCCTTCACCATTTTGTAGAGTCCCTTTAAAAGCTCATTTTCCCCAGTTTTACATATTTAATCATCATAGAACACCAAATAAAGTTCAACTGACATGAAGACAATAACCGATTGAAAACACTATTAATCACAAATTTCTTACAAAAAAATAAGCCACAACCAGCAAAGGAAAGGAGGCTATACTATAATTGAAGAGTACGCTGTAATCCTACATTTCTTACCCAAAAAAAAAAGATAATCCAAAATTTCTTACCCAAAAGAAGAGGTAATTCCAAGTCTAAATCTAGCAAAGATCTCATGTTTAAGCTACAGACCCAGTTAGAATAGAAGAAAATTAGTTAAGGGGTTCGATTACCTTGTCTTTTTTACCATTTTTTCGTACTCTGACTTCCATGCTCCAACCTGCCGGTAACCAGTCCGGGGACGAATTTTGGTCCGCCATTTCACCGGCAATCTGAGTTTTCCGGTGATCTTTAATGAGAAATTAAGAAGATCTCAGGCGGTTGACGCACCAAAGAGCTTTCCTTTGCTCTAGCTTCTCTCTCTAAGCTCCCTATCTAATTGGAGCATCTATCCATTTCACGCTCTTTCTTGCTTGACTCCATTCTCTCTCTCTCTCTCTAGACTGATTACTGTAAAATAGGATTGTGTATCGGACAAAATGCACCCAAAACCACGTGTTGCCGAACTTTTCCGTCCAGCAATTCGAGGATTGTACAAGGTTGATAATTTTCTTAATCTCCCACTTTGTTCAATTGGAACCATTTTTTTTGGGGAGAATTACACTTACATCCTGTCGTCAAATCCTCAAATGTCGGTTAATTATATTTATTAATAAATTACACCTAATTTTTTTTAAGTTTATAAGCATATATTACTTACACCCTTTCAGTTTAAAATATTATAATTAGACAAAAAATATTTCAATAAAAAATATAATATCAAATATTTTAAATTTTATAATCAAGATTCATGTTCTATAGTATCATTTATTGAAATAAAATTAAAAATAAAAAGTCAATTTTTTATTAAAAAATTATAATTAGTATACAATTATATTATCTATTGGAATAAAACTAAAAAAATTAAATAAGAGCTCTAAGTCATTTATAATGGAATATGAAATTTTCTATTGTGTTACTTATTTAAATAAAATTAAAATTTTAATTTTTTTATTAAAAAATCATAATTTATATATAATTATACTATCTATTGGAATAAAATTAAAAAGATCAAACAAAAAATCAAACTTTAATGGATACAATATATTTTATCTTTAATTAGGGTAATTTGATAGTTTTAACGACGAAATTAAATTCTAATAGATAGTATAATTATACTAATTATGATTTTTTAAGAAAAAAATAAATTTTTATTATTAATTTTATTTCAATAAATGTCATAATAAAATATGAATTTTAGTTGTAAAATTTTATATACTTGATATTTTATCTTTGTTTGATGTATTTTTTGTCTAAGTATAATATTTTAAATTTGAAGGATTTAAGTATTACACACTTACAATTTTTAGGAGATCTGAATGTAATTTATTAACAGATATATTTTTAAACATTGACAATAGGAGTTGAAGTGTTACGTATTTACAAACCTAAGGAGTTTACATGTAATATTTTTAATATCAAGGGATCTAACTAATTAAGTGACAAATATTAGAAGATTTGAGTGTAATTCTATCTTATTTTTATTTTTTTTGTTCAACCATCAATGTGTTGAGTCATTTACTTGTACTTCTGATTAATTTTTTTTTTGTCCAGTCAAAGACAATCATGTAGTTACCAAGAATTAAATTCAACACGTCCATCTTTTTTATTTCTTGCACCATTTTTTTTTATTTTCCATTTTTATTTGAGAAGTTTATAAGTGGAGTTTGGTCAGCCACTAATGACTAGGCTGGTAAAAATAGACAACTTATAATTTGGTCCACTTAATTATGATATTGAGGCCATAGTTACAGAGGGGTTAAAGTCTAATGTGCTCAAGTTTACGGCTATCAATTATGTCAAATGAAATGGATTTTTGTCAAATTTTAGTGGGTTCATATCAAAAAATATTTTATTTATACATGACTCGTTTATTAATTTGTGTTTAACGGGTCGTGTCAGATTAAATTCATGTCGTGTATTAATTATATATAATCAGTATATAAATGAGTCGTGTCGTATATTTTTTTTGATTAATTTTATTCATACCTAATTTTTTTATTACTCGTTTACGAAATGAGCAGCATAAGAAAAATTTAAATCTTCTAATTTTGTCACTCGTTAACAACCTATTCAAACCCAACAAGTACTGTAAAACTTTATTGATTCATTTGCACTTGAGTTCTCTCTCGTACAAATTCGTTTAGATATCTTCTTATCACCATCCTTTATGTCTACATAACGTGTGGGAGAAAAATTTACTCCATTATCATTTTTGGAGGATTTTATTCCTTTAAAAGATCTCAAATAGAGATATGCAGGGACTGGTTTTCTTGTTATGGATTGATTTGAGACCATGATTTGGGTATTCTCTTTATTGCTAATTACCAAATTAGATCACCCAATTCATGTCTTTGTAACCATTTATTTATCTAATATTACAATTGGTAAGTTAAAATTTTAATATGTAGAAGCGTAAAGTTTGATCCAAATCTTCTTCTAATATAATTCAATAATATAAAATTCATTCCCAAATTTATTTTTTTTGCTCAAAAATGTTTTTTTTTTCACAACTCTCGATGCTAGACAATCCCACTAATTTACATTTACACCCTTTTATCCCTCCCCTACATCTCTTATTTTACTTTTGTTCATTTAATTTTAAATTGTCTGATTAAAGATAAAAAGAAAAAAGAAAAATAAATTTTAAATATTGTACAATCAATGTTTGATTTTTAGTATTGCAAAGTGTCTTCAGATACAAAGTTTTTGCTAGTGTGTATATATATAGGGGTGTTCAAATTTTCAATTAGTCGTAATTTCTTACTCGACCCGACCCTATTGAATAGCTAGTCGAAAAAATCGGGTAGAAATCCGTAATAATCATTAATTTTCGTATTCCTATTCTACCCTATCCACATTTATATATATAACCCTAATTCCCTAACAATATGGTTTAAATTTAAAATAATTATTTTTATATTTGTGTAACAATTATAACGGATTGATGTTTATATTTTTTTTTTGTTTTATTATAATTGTTTTAAGTTTTAGTGTTATTGATTTATTATGTTGTTAAATTGATGCATGTTATTTAATTAAATTATTAAAATAATCCACAAATTAATAATTACAAAAATGTTCATTTGATTTCTTACCCGACTTTTAACCCAATTAATTTGGCCGAAACTCGGGTAGGAATACCATATTTGATTGACAAAGTAATGGATAGGAAGACGAAAGACCATATATTTCCTACCCATAGGATAAGGTGAACAACCTATATATATAATTAATGATCATCATTTGGAGGAGAAGAATAAACGCTCGTTCCCTCTTTTGTTTGATTCGTGTAGATTGTTTATGCTCCGTTTGATACGATGAAAAAATGGGAGGATGAAAAGTTGGAAGAATAAATAAAACATCATGTTTGGTAAGGAAGGAAAATAAGAATGATGGAAAAATGGATTAAAAATTAATTATTTGTGTTGAGATGTATTTTATTTGTCTATATATCTTTTTATATATACAATAATTTCATATAAAAATACAATAGTAAAATATGTATATATATATATATATATTTAAAAAAATTTAAAAATAAAATAAAATAAATAAAAATTAAAATTTTAAATTAAAAAAAATAATTTTCCTATTTTAACTAAGGGTGAAAATTTTTGATTCAACACGATGACACGACTCAAACTCGATACAAAAATAAATAGGTCTACTCACAACTCGACACAACAAAATTAGTTAAATGAGTTAAGTTAGATTTGACTAATATTTAACACAAATTCGTAATAACTTAACATGAATTTGACACAACACGACTCGATTGTCACTCCTAATCTTAGCCAGCAAAAAAAAAAATAGTCATTTTTATTTTCTATCCATCCAACCAAACACAAAAGAAGAAAAATGTATCATTCTTACTTTTCATCCTTAAAGGATAGAAAGTGTATCTCTCCTACTTTTCATTTTTTTTACTTTCCATCCTCCCTACCAAACGGAGCACTAGAGTAATATCATACAGAGTTAAAAATTTAACTTGATAATGTGACTATTATATTTATTATTGATTTGACTTTTGATGTTAGGAAGGATTGCCCCATAAATGAACACCAATTCAATGATAGTGATTTATCAAACTAAGTTTTTAAATTTATTTAGCATTTTCTGATTGGAGGCTAAAGTATGTAATTACTAAATGACTTAATATTCGAGGTTTTCCTACTCAATCACATTTCTGCCCAAAATAATCCGACATAAACTCCAAAATAAATAATGGGATCGAATCTTCTAATTGATACATATTAATTGACTACATGTATATAGATTTATACTTTTATATTGTTTTAGATAATAGAAAATCAAATACAATTATAAGATAAATGGTAACTAATTTAGTGTTTATGAATGTTTTGTAATATATAATGTTGTATAGTAGTGAAAACAATCAACATAAGAGATCTAAAATGAATTGCGACCCAAAATTTCATACCACCAAAATCAACCATCATCGTATCACGTACCTAAAAAAGTGTCGTACCACGTACCAAAATGACTTATGATCCAGGTAACATTGGTTCAAACCCAGGAAAGTAAAATATGTGCATGGATTCTTTTATGTTTCTTTTAGGGGTTTGTTTGGTTGTTGTATTGTAAAAGATATGATGTAATTTCATATAAGCGGATAAAGTACAATATTACACGGGAGACAAAAATACAACGTACCAGCTATATTTTTCATATTTTCTCAAGGATTTCAGTGTGGGAGGTGGGATTATGTAAGAAATTCTATGTATTTCTCTGACTATCAAAATCCTGGAAATATAATGAACTTGTGACAAACAATCAGTTGTGAAGTGGGTTTGGTCCAGCAGGGACTAGTCGATGAGAAATGGAGTGCATCTGATTGTTCCGGTTATCGCTGGATTCTGCATAGTGAGGGATGACAGAGAAGTATCGCAAGAATGCAGAAATGAACTTTGCTCTTAATCTTTCTTCTTCTGCTTCATTATTCGTAGGATGGGCGATGAACCGGCAGGTGCACATATGGACTAGTAGCATGAGCATGATCATGATCAATGTCAATGGGAGTGAAGAAGTTCGGATTCTCATTATCATAAGATGGAAAAACAAAGCTATACCAAGAGTTCAAGCAGAGAGAGACTCTTTTTGTTGTTGTTGTGATATATTAGTACTAAGATCTATGTCCATTTATAATGGAAGTGGGGGGATTTTGTGTGTTTTTTTTTGTGTTTTTTTTTTTGGTGGGGGAGTAGTTGACTTTATATTAGGACAAAGTTGACTTTATAAAAGTACTTTATTTAAGAAAGTCAAGGAAACTCCCCTGAATCCTGATGCATCATTTTCATTTAAGAATGTTTTGGTTTTTTTTATAAGATTTAGACTAGGGGAAGAGATACAAGGGATTTAGCCAGTTGGAAGTTTGAGTCTGACCCTGAATACAAGTTCATCGGTTCATCAGATTCCATGGTAATGGTTTGCATGAATGTTTGTTACTTTCATGAGGAGGTAGAATAAACCAATTCAATGTTGATTCTTTAAAAGTTGTTGCAGCCATCTAAGTCTAAGATGCAGATTCATGTAATGTAACAGGACATTTCAGCTTTGAAGAAGTCGTTCGTCACAGCTGAGTAAAACAAATGGTTTAATGTACGAGACTCCCGCTTAAATGAAAGATGAGAATGAGATCATGTTGCAGACTTCTTTTATAAAAGAACGAGGGCATGATGCCAAGATCTATATAGAAACCAATCCCTTTTACTTATTTTTTCAGAGATAGAGATTTGACTTTTTTTCATTGTTAGTTCTTTAAGAAGTGTTCTAATCCTTGGCTATTGACTTGGAACAGTTTGGGTTTGTCAACTATTCCAGTTCAATTGCAGAGAATTAAAGAAAAGGAACAGAGTTTCAGTCCAATACAATGTACTTTCACATTGGCAAAAACGAGGACAGCAAATTTCAGTCATCTGTATGAAACCAGACAGCATTTTGACCACACTGCAGAGACATTCCCCCCCCCCCCCAAAAAAAAAAAAAAAAAAAAACCATTTTAACAACATATAATGCTCATAAATGGTTTCTTGGATCAGCTCCTTCTAAACAGCTCTAGAAGGCGTTCCAACTAAAACCTACATACACATTTACTAGGGATTTCTGGGTTTATTCTGAAAATTGCTTTTTTTCCAAAAAGAACAGCATGACTAGAATTTTTATTTCAACTATGAGAACTTAAATCGAAGATGTTTAACAAATGCAAATACATGTGTTAGCAAATGCATTTGGGTTAAGTTCTCATCCAACAAAGAAGTTTGTAAAAGACTTGATAACTGTATTAGTAAGCTATCGAAAAATATAACATTAGCATTTAGCATACTGCTGACTATAATGCTTTGGATAATGACCACCAACCTACATCCACTGCTATCATCCTCCCTATCAACCTTTTACAAATCACATATACTTAGCTTGCACCACCCTCCTCCACCCCACACCTCTCTAGCACTACCATTACTTTCAAACATTATCCACCCAGCTTTCTTCACCACGGACTAGGATAATCAGCACCAAATCCAAACCAACATTATACTTCCTCAGCATTGTGCATTGATTGATAGATGCAGTAAGTTTTGATTGAGACAAGTTATCACACGCATGGAAGCGAGGCAAGCTATTTTCACTTGCTTAATTGTGGTGCTTTTGGAGTTCACTTCTCGGAGAACTGCAAAATAGATTGAAGCGCTAGAAGCACAACAACAAAATTTCCTCTTAGACGGTATCCCCACTAGATGTGAGCTGCATTCTCTAGTGGACGACCCTCTGCAGGCTTAGCAGCATCATGATTGGTACCTTCAGGAGGTTCATTAATGTTTTATGCACTGGTTACTGGTATTGTCTTTTTGACAGTTCCAATCTTAACGTATGATCTCATAAACTTGTATTCCCAATCTTGTAAGACACCAAGCTCAAATTCACCAAGATCAGAGATATCCCCCGTTAGATATTCCTCTTCAACAGACAGCTTTGCCAGAGCTCTACTAACATCTTTCCCCACCAACATTGCATATAGCCCCCCTGACCCATATAACATCCTGCCAAAAGATGGGGGTACAAATACAAAATGCATTTATGGTAAGTATTAGTTAAAACAGTCAGTAACAGTGAATTTGATTGTATATGAGCAAATTACAGAATGAGATGAAGCAAGCATTGTAGGGGACTTTTTGCTGTGCTCCCCAAAATCATCAAATTCTTTTCCAAGTCCCTTTTTTTGGATTAAGCCAGAATTACAGGCTTTTATGGTGGCATACCCTTATGATAAAATCTCATAACAGCAATTCTGAGAGGAAGAATCAAATGCATACACTTAAACCGACAGTACTCTATCTGATTGGCCAGAAAACCGAGGATTAAAGGAAGAGAGATTTTTGACATAACCCCCATCACAACCCCGTAAAGAATATGCTAAAATCTCAGCTGTAAAGATCCAACAAACAGAACTGAATCGCAAACACCAAGGATTTGGATCCCCTCAACTTCAAAATTGTCATTTGGATCCAACCTTATATGCAATCTATCATCTGAATCAACCCTGCACAACAATGGAAAAACCAAAATATCCCAGAAAAATCAAGCCCCTTTTTCTTGTCTTTTTTTCAACAGGACCAGTTTATGTTGGTAAGCCATTTACGTCGGGGATAATCCCCTTTTTCAAGGACAACCAGCCGTAAGCATAAATCAACATCAACTAGAGTAAGCAAAGTCAAAGAGAGAATCAATAGGTGAAATATCAGATATTACCAAAATCCCACAAAGCTCCAAAACTTGTCATACTTGTGGCAAGCAACAGAAAAAAAAGACCCAGAATTTACATAAAAAGCTTCATATTTTATAATAATCTGAAGCTAAAAAAAATACCAAAATTCGCAACAAAATCCCATACTCCGAAGCTAAAACATCGAAATAAAACAAAATAATAATCCACATATCTCACGTAGAAATACACGAGATACCTGCTCTGACACATCATGGATTTGACCCTTGATTGCCATGAGCAGAGCTTGGTAGAATCAGACTCATCGTACTGCTTCAACTCCTCCTCAGTGATCTCTCCAAGCTGCTGCATTTGTTCCTCGAAGTTCCTAGACCTCCCAGAGACCACATAGTAGAGGGCAAGAGCCACAGCAAGAACTGTAAAGAAGGTCGCTGAAGACAGACCCGAGTATGCTGTCATTGGTCATTTCAAATTCTCCCAAAATCGCCAGGCCATGGATTTATGGGGTGAAAGACCGAAAACAGAAAATGATCTTTAGTAAATGGTAGAAAAACAATGGAAGTAGAAGACAGTTCTTGAACTGATGGGGGCAGGTATTTGTTTACTGAAGTCAAACTTTTTTTTATTTTTTTGTTGTCAGACTGGTGCACATGACGATGAGGTTCGAACTCGGGAGGATAAAGTTTGAACTCGTAAATATACAGAGTGATTATTAGGCTAATCGTTAACTTCTAATAAAGTCAAACCTTGACTTAATTTTAACACAAAGGACTTCAATATTATGCTTATTAGAATTCCTATTCTGCCTGGGCTAGAACTACAACTGAAATCATTTAATAGATAAAAACATTACAAAAAATAAGAAACTTGTGAAAAGAATACAATTTATGACACTCCCCTCCCCTAAAATCACCACCATCACCATTATTAGACATGATCTCTGGTGGTGGACCTCTCAGCATGGCTCAAACCTAGGTAAAATTCTCACAAAGAAAAAAGAGTGAATGGATTATATAGAATTTCGGACATGTACATTCTCTATTTTAGCACGATTAACCAATCCCCTCCCTCACATTTCTTATATCTTTGTCCATCTATCCCGCTCTTCACTGCGTGTGAAGTGAACACACACACATATATGCTTTTTTTTATATATGTATACATGTGAGAACTAGATTGAGGTTTGGTTCGAGATTCGAATAGGCTACAAGAATTTTGAAGAACAATAGTATTTTATTTAGTCCTTCCATATCGCCATATACTGCTTTCATTGTTTTTAGAGTTTGACCTAATTACACAACACTTTCAAATTAGTCCCGAGAGTTTAGCCACATTGACACATTATATTTCGAATTGACTACATTTAAAAAAAAAAATGTATAAGAAATACAAGATCATCAAGAACACAAATTCTCCCAAGACTTAGATTCACATATAAGTGTATAGTTTGATGCACATTGCTCATAAGAAAAAATCCAACATATTCTACATCATAAAACCAGAAAACTCTGTATTCCCCTGCTTTCAAATGAAGGACAACATTATCATGTCCGGAAACATAACGAACTGGTGATAAACATCAGTTGTGAAGTGGATTTGGTCCTGCAGGGACTAGTAGGTGAGAAACCGTGTTCATTTGGTTGTTGTCATCATTCATGGATTCTGCATAGTGAGGAACAGCTGAGAAGTAATGCAAAAAAGTAGAGATGAACTTTGCTTTTTTTCGTTCTTCAGCTTCAGCATAAACTGGATGATTGCCAATGCAACGACAGGTGCACGTATGGACTAATAGCATTACAATGATCACGAAAAATGTGAATGAAAACAAAGAAAATCAAGTTCTCATCATCATAAGATTGAAAAAAGAGCTATACCCAAGAGTTGGAAATGGAGAAATGTAAGTGTTTTGTTGGTGTGAAATGTTAGCAAGATCCAGGTCCATTTATATGGGAAGATGTGGGAAAGTCGGACCAATAATTCTTAATTTTTGCAAAATGGAAGTTGACTTTATGTTTTTAATTTTTCATTCACAAATGTAAACTCCCTTGATACATCATTTTTTATTGGGCATTGCTAGTTTTTTTCATGAGATTTCGGACTAGGTGAAGAGATACTGGGGATTTAGACGGTTGGAAGTTGGAATCTGACTTCGAATACAAGGGCATCAGTTGATCAGATTCCATGGGCAATGGTTTGCAGGAATGTTGTTCTTGTTCCATTCATGAAGACACATGACCAATTCAATGTTAGTTTTTTTAATAGTTTTTGCAGCCTCCTAAGTCTAATATGGAGGTTCATGTAACAGGACAGGACATTTCTTTCGTCACAGCTGACGAGAGAGCCCACCATACTGCTGAATGTGCTGATGACTAAAAGAAAAAAGAAAAAAAAAAAAGACGAGACTCCCGCCATTGTAGAGTCTTGCAAGGGTCTGGCTATTGGTTCCATCTGTTCACCAATGTATCTGATTCTGATGCAATGCTTCTTCCCAAACTGTTTCACGTGATCATCCGAGGAGAATTAAACGGGTAAAGTTTCAGGTACTTGACTCAGATTAACAGTTGATTCAACAACATTAATCATCAAATCTCTTGAAAGCCAGACTGATGAGATCATGTTGCAGGCTGCTCTGAGGACATGACACCAACATCTATATTGAAACATATCCCATTATTGGTTTTTGTATGGCTTAATCTTTGACTTTTTCCTATTTTTAGTTCTTAAATGAGTGTTCTAAACTTTGGCTTTTGACATGCAACAGTTTGGTACACAGAAAAGAGAAATAACACCTATGCCCTCTACAAGTTTTAGCCATGATGTCAAGTTTGGAATTAAGTGGAACAGCCAAACAGATACGATTATACGACAAAAAATTTACGTTTTTAACAAATGTTAACAACTATAATTTGCTTGGCATCTGAAAGAAGCATCTAAGACTCAGCAATCATCTGTTATCACTGTGGTAGCCGGTATTGTGTGAATATCAGAAGAACTCAAGCTCTATTGGGCAGTCTTATTATTCTTATCGACTCATTCTATCATCCTAGGCTTGGCTATGCGAATCATTCAGAGACAACAACCGGTAAGCATAAATCAACATCAACTAGAGTAAGCAAAGCTAAAGAGAGAATCAATAGGTGACATATCAGATATTACCAAAATCCCACAAAACTCCAAAACTTGTCATATTTGTGGTAAGCAACAGAAAAAAAAGACCCAGAATTTACATAAAAAGCTTCATATTTTATAATAATCTGAAGCTAAAAATACCACAATTCGCAACAAATTCCCATACCCAGAAGCTAAAACATCGAAATAACACAAAAAAAAATCCACATATCTCATGTAGAAATACACGAGACACCTGTTGTGTGACACATCATAGATCTGACTTGTACTGCTTCAACTCCTCCTCAGTGATCTCTCCAAGCTGCTGCATTTGTTCCTCGAAGTTTTTAGACCTCCCAGAGACCACATAGTAGAGGGCAAGAGCCAAAGCAAGAACTGTAATGAAGGTCGCCGAATACAGACCCGGATATGCTGTGACTGGCCAGCTCAAATTCTCCCAAAATCGCCAGGCCATGGATTTATGAGATGAAAGACCGAAGAGAGAAAATGATCTTCAATAGATGGTAGAAAAACAGGGGAGGAGTAGAAGACAGTTCTTGAACCGACGGGGGCAGGTAGTTGTTTTACTAAAGTCAATTTTTTTTTTTAATCAGGCTGGTGCACATGATGATAAACGCCTCGTCTCGTGATAACCTTCTCTATTTCTGTAGCTGCATATCCTCGTAGGCATAGAACCTGTCGTTATCTCAATTGTACTACTGGAGATTTTGGAAAAGTCGAAATAGGAGAACGGGCTTACTCCTTGAGGTTCGAACTTGGGACGACAACAATAGATGTGATGAGTATTAGGTTAGCCATTAATTTGTAATAAAGTCAAACTTGACTTAATGTTAAGTCAAAAGACTTGAATATTATTCTTAGAATTCCTATTCTTTCTGGACTGGAAGTACAACTGAAATCATTTAATAGATAAAAATATTACAAGAAAGAAGAAACTTGTGAAAAGCAGAAAAGAATACAATTTATGACACTCCCCTCCTCTAAAACCACCGCCACTACCACCACCATTATTAGACATGATCTCTGGTGGTGGAACTCTCAGCATCCTCAAACCTATGTAATATTCTCAAAAAGAAAAAAGAAAAAATAGATTATATAGAATTTCGGACATGTACACTCTCTATTTTAGCACCATTAACCAATCCCCTCTCTCACATTTCTTATATCTTTGTCTATCTATCCCCCTCTTCATTGCGTGTGAAGTGAACACTTTTGCATGTGTGTATGCATGTGAGAACGAGATTGAGGTTTGGTTCGATAGTCGAATAGCCTACAAGGATTTTGAAGATCAATAATATTTTATTTAGTCCTTCCACATCACCATATACCGCTTCCATTGTTTTTAGTTTGTGACTTAATTACACAATATTTTCAGATTAATCTCGAGAATTTAGTCATGCTGACACATTATATTCTGAATTGACTACATTTATAGGCAAATGCATAAGAAACACAAGATCATCAAGAACACAAATTCTCCCAAGACTTACATTCACATAAAAGTGTATAATTTGATGCACATTGCTCATAAGAAAAAATCCAACATATTCTACATCATAAAACCAGAAAACTCTATTCCTCTGCTTTCAAATGAAGGACTACATTATCAAGTCCAGGAAACATAATGAACCGATGACAAACAATCAGTTGTGAAGTGGGTTTGGTCCTGCAGGGACTAGTAGGCGAGAAACCGTGTGCATTTGGTTGTTCTCATTACTCATGGATTCTACAAAGTGAGGAACGGTAGAGAAGTAATGCAAAAAAGTAGAGATGAACTTTGCTCTTTTTCGTTCTTCTGCTTCAGCAGAAGCAGGATGATTGGCAATGTACCGGCAGGTGCACATATGGACTAATAGCATTAGAATGATCACGAAAAATGTGAATTGAAATGAAGAAAATCGAGTTCTCATCATCCTAAGATTGAAAAAAGAGCTATACCCAAGAGTTGGAAATGGAGAAATGTAAGTGTTTTGTTGGTGTGAAATGTTAGCAAGATCCAGGTCCATTTATATGGGAAGAGATGGGAAAGTCAGAGCCTAACTTCCTGTGCCACCGACCAATACTTCTTAATTTTTGTAAAATGGAAGTTGACTTCATTTCATTCACAAAAGTAAACTCCCTTGATACATCATTTTCTATTGGATATTGTTAGTTTTTTCATGAGATTTCAGACTAGGTGAAGAGAAACCGGCTGTTTAGACGGTTGGAAGTTGGAATCTGACTCCGAATATAAGAGATTCCATGGTTAACGGTTTGCAGGAATGTTGTCCTTGTTCCATTCATGAAGACATATGACCAATTCAATGTTAGATTTTTAATAGTTTTTGCAGCCAACTAAGTCTAACATGGAGGTTCATGTAACAGGACAGGACATTTCTTTCGTCACAGCTGACGGGAAAGCCCACCATACTGCTAAACGTGCTGATGTCTACAAGAGAAAAAAAAAAAAGAAGACGAGACTCCTGCCACTGTAGAGTCTTGCAAGGGCTGGGGTATTGGTTCCATCTGTTCATCAATGTATCTGATTCTGATGCAATTCTTCTTCCCAAACTGTTTCATGTGATCATCCGAGGAGAATTAAACAGGTAAAGCTTCAGATACGAGACTTGGACTAACAGTTGATTCAACAACATTAATCATCAAATCTCTTGAAAGCCAGACTGATGAGATAATGTGGCAGGCTGCCCTGTGGACATGACACCAACATCTATATTGAAACATATCCCATTATTGTTTTTTGTATGGATTAATATTTGACTTTTTCCTATTTTTAGTTCTTTAATGAGTGTTCTAAACTTTGGCTTTTGACTTGCAACAGTTTGGTACACAACAAAAAGAAATAACAGCTATGCCCTCTACAAGTTTTAGCCATGATGTCAAGTTTGGAATTAACCGGAAGGGCCAAACCGATACGAGACAAAAAATTTACTTTTTAAACAAATGTTAACAACTAAAATTTGCTTGGCACCTGAAAGAGGCATCTAAGACTCAGCAATCATCTGTTATTGCTGTGGTAGCCGGTATTGTATGAATATCAGAAGAACTCAAGCTCTATTCGGCAGTCTTGTGATTCTTTTCGATTCATTCTATCATCCTAGGCTTGGCTATGCGAATCCTTCATCACCGTTTTTAGTTATCTGGGGCATTAGTTTGCTCATTGTGTGCTAGAACATCCATTTTCTTCCAGATTATGAATGTTTTTCTATGGTTTCCATCTATCTGTGGGGTGCTTTTGTTCAAAGGAAATCACTCTTTATTGATGTTGTTTGTTGCAAATGAGCAAACCACCTTCAATTTTCTCATCTTACCATTGATTTTCTCCTTCTATTCATTGAAATTAAATGTTGATCATTACATAAACCTTTTGGACCTCTGTTTCTATAGAGTTTGAAGATATTCCTCTGTCCTGCATTATTACAAGCTGGACAGCATCATGTGCGATGCATTGAATTGCATTTGCAATGTTTTTTTGCTTTTTGTTTCCCAATTTTATGGAATCTTCGACACAACAATAAAGTTGCTCAATTGTGATCTGAAAGTCACGAATTCAAATTGTAGAAATAATTTTTCTATTTACAGAGATGAGATTTCCACTAACCTCACAATGGCAAGAATCTCGCGCGCTGGATACTCTGTTTTCCCAATTTCATGTCTTAGTTTTTGGCTGACTTGTCCAACTGTATTAGTTTTTGGATGTCTTGTCCAACTTCAACATGCCTTTTTAACTTTTGTCTTTATAATTAATGAAATCATTGTTGCTTGTAAAGAAATAATAATAATAATAATTCTACAGATAATATCCTTAAAATATAATTCCAACTATGAAAGATCATTCTACAGCTTAGTGCAAAATCCTTAAAGAATGAAATTGCGTGCATCTAACTCTCTCCCGACCCTACAATATTTGAAACTTATGCACTAAGCTGTCCCTTTTTTCATTCTAATCTACTGCATATATTTCACATCATGGGTTATGCAGAAAGATAAGTAGCTCTGGTTCAAGCAAACTGGGATCATGTATGTCATATACAAACTACAAATCACGTGAGGAAAAAAAGGTAAAAATTTCACCTACTACAAGGGAATAAATTTCCCTTTTGAACTCAAATAGCATTTTGGACAAACTACAAAGATTGCAGATGACTAATTTATCCTATAGATCATGGCCACCAACCTACGGCCATTGCAATCATCTTCATCACCATCAACCTTCTCCAAATCTCATAAACTACATAGCTTCCACAATTGTGCCACCACCCTCCTCCACCTTACACCTCCCTCGCATCACCACTAGTTCCAAGTTCAAACATTATCCACCCAGCTTTCTTCACCACTGTCTTGGATAATTAGTACCACCATAACATTTCATGAAATTAAACATGTTGCCACCCAGAGATCGACCACATGACATCCCATTCCTCAGCGAGAGCAACCATAAACATGACTGAGAATTGATAGGACATCATTTAAAGTTTGATGACTAAAGGCTATCAAACTCCACCAGTGGAAAAGGAGGCACAAGCTAGGCATGACAGAGCAAATTCATAGTTAAACAGGCTGCCTTCAGAAATGACTTGCCAACAAAAGGACAAGAAACCCACACCAAAAAATCCACAGATGAGAAGCGAAACTGGTTTAGAATAGCTCAAGATGCAGCTCCCCGATTCCTTATTTAATACAACACACTAAACATTCAAGCAAATTTGATTATAGCAACAGTATCCAACGCTGAGAAAAAAACCTCTTACACGAATGGATTCACAAAAAAAGGAGCACCCAACATTCTTCTTTCTAAGCATCCCATCAGAACTGTTTCGCTTGGTTCTGGAACAACATTTATTCTTTTTTGTCGGCATCAACATTAGGTGTGCGCACAGTTTCGACAGCTGCATTCTCTGATGGACCATCTTCTGCAGACTTAGCAGCATCTCGGTCAGTGGTTTCAGCAGGTTCACTAGTATTCGATGCATCAGTTACTGGAATTGTGCTCTTAACAGTTCCGACCGTAACATATTTGCTCATAAACTTGTATTCCCAATCTTGTAAGGCCTCAAGCTCAAATACACCAAGACCAGAGATATCTCCTGTCAGATCCTTCTCTTCAAAGGACATCATTGCGAGAGCTCTGCTAGCATCTTTCCCCGCAAACAGAGCATAAGGCCCACCCGGTCCATAAAACATCCTGTAAAAGGATGGGAACAAATACAAATGCACTAGTGGAATGAACTAGTTACAAAACCAAGCAACAGTAAATTGGGTTTTATATATAAACAGAGTGCAGAATTAGTGGTCGTATGGGTGTTTAAAAAACTAAATGTGAGAGTGTAAGAGAGACAGAGAGAGCATTGCAGGAGTTATGATAGTACACTAACATAACCATCAGTCTTAAATCCAAAATCAGAGAAGAGGATACAAATTTCAACAACACAAAAGGCCTTAGGTTGCAAAGTGCAAGCCAGGCCCAACATAGGACAGATCTTGGCTTTGATTACTGAGCTCCAAGCTTTTAGGCGATTAACAATTACCCCTAAAATTAGAAACAAGAAATAGCTGGGTACCAAGGTTTGTCAACAGAAAAATCAAATCACATGTACAAAATTTGAGTAATAGCAAGTCCCTTTCTCTTGAATAAACCAATATAACAGCATACTTAGAGTGGCACACCTTTATACTAATTTTCAGAACAGAGGATAATTCTTCTTTTTTTTTTTTTTTGTATATAACACCATCAAAACCCCCAAAAAATATGCTAAAATCTTCAGATTCTAATATCCAATAAACACAACTGAATCATAAAATTTTAGGATTTGGATCCTCTCAATTTCAAATTTCGTCATTTAGATCCATAAATCCATCATCAGAATCAAGCATATGCGAAAAGCGAAATATTGCAGTAAATCAAGTACCTTTTCATGGAAAACAATCCACCAAGAACAAATCAACATAAAAAAATAGAGTAGGGAAAGAGGGAAATCAATAGGTAAAAAAGCATAAAGCAATCCTACAAACACACAGACAAATGTGCTCAGCGGGGGGATAGGGGAGCAGAAAAGACCAAAAATTTACACAGAAGCTTCAAAGTTTATGATAATCTGAAGCTAAAAATACTACAATTCACCAAAAAATCCCACACCCAGAAGCCAAAACATCGAAATAACACCAAAAATCCAATGAAATACCTGCTCTGTGACACATCATAGATCTGACCCTTGATTGCCATGAGCAAAGGCTTCTTAGAATCAGACCCATCGTACTGCTTTAACTCCTCCAGAGTGATCTCTCCAAGCTGTACAGGAGGAGGCAAAGGCTGCATCTGCTCCTCGAAGTCCCTAGACCTCTGATGATGACCTTGATTGGAGGACCCAAACATCCCAGAAACCATATAGTAGATAGCAAGGGCCAAAGCAAGAACTGTAAAGAAGGTTGCTGGAGAGAGACCTGTGTATGCTGTGATTGATTCTTTCAAAGTCTCCCAAACTTGCAGGGCCATGGCCTTACGAGATGATAGACTGGGGAGAGAGAGAGCGAGAGAGGTGACAAAAACGAGGTAGAAGAGTCTTAGAGATTTCTTAGACAGATGGGGCGGGTGCTTGTCTGTTTATCTACTCATCAATCTCAGGTATCTTCTCGTGATGGGGATTTTTTAATAAACAAATTATACCAAATCACTAAGGTTAATATAAAATACATTATATCCCCCCAAAAGTTTGAAAAATTATAAAGAATCCCTTAAAGTTTAAGATTAAATTGCAATAAATCCCCTCTCAGAAGATATATTAACCTGATGTCGACTGCTATTATTAAAATACCTACTTTGCCTTCATTGAAAAAAAATAAAAGGACAAATTATATTTTAATCTTCTAAATTATAGGCTAGATTTTGCCTTACTTGTCAAATTATTGAATTATTTATATTGCCTTTCAACTAATTGAATTATACTATATTGTCCCAAACACAAACTTCTACTATTTTTTTAGATGAAAATTGAAAACTCATCATAACAAAGTGAAAAATAATCACATAATTTGAAGAGTAAAATGAAATTAATATCAATCAAATATGAAATGGAAGCTAATTAGATTTGACACTAATCACATAATTGAAACTATAATATGAAAAATATGACAACCGAGGGACAATATAAAAAAAAGACATAAGTTAAGAGGCCAAAATATAATTTACCTAAAAGAAAATTAGAATGAATAAAAAAATACCAAAAAAATCAATAAGATGATAAAAAATGCAAGTGGTAAAATGTACTAGGGTGGATTATATTTTGTATTTTTAAAGATTTAAAAAATTTTATTTTACATTCCCAAAAATTGAGTTTTTTATATTATATCTTTAATATATTAAAAATATTTTAATGTGACACTTCCATTAGTTTTTACTTTTCATTATGCCAATGTTAATAGGGTGATTTTGATGAAATAAATAACAAAAGTTAATAAAAATATTATATTATAATACTTTTAATATATTAAGGATGCAATATAAAAAGTTTAATTTTTAAAAATATAAAATGAGAATTTTTAAATATTGTTGGGTTCAAAGTGTAATTCTCTTAACTGGACCTCCTATCTGATCCAACAATTAGGGCTGTAGCACCTATTCGACTATCAGGTGCCAGAGAATCAGAGATTAGTTGAGAGAGAGAGAGAGAGAGAGAGAGGCTGTGAAGCATGGCCGGAGAAGGAGATCATCATGGACATTACGCAGAGGGGGCTCACGGAGGTGACTTCAGGACCAAAGTATGGACCATGAGTGGCGGGCCTTACTGTAGGCCCAAGCACTGGAAGCGCAACACTGCCATCGCCAAGGCCGGCATCTTCCTTATCTGCAATCCCATCGCCATGAAATCTGCCGAGCTAGAGGTCATTCTCTTTCTCTCCCCCCCCCCTCTCTCTCTCTCTATATATCTGCAAGTGTATAGTCACAGTCTTTTTGTTGTATCCCATTCTGTTTGAATGTTTATTTTTTCTTATTAGTTTAACGTGCAAGATCTGAAATTTGATTACCTCAAATCGATTTCTTTGTTGAATTTTTATTAGAGTAAAGCCAATTTGATGATTCCCCCAATACCTAATTGTTATTAATCAAAGACTAATAGTGTCTCAGGAATGTTTCAGGGGATGTCTCATTGGATATGATCCGTTAAGTTTAAGAGAACACAATTCTAGGGTGGCAATCATGGGGTGTCATTGCGTGTCGAATATTAGTCGACCATAATTCAACCAATTTAATTAATCGTGTCATACCGATTGACCAGTTTTGATGTCGAATTCATGTTGCTGTATATAAATTTCGAATAAAGAATTTAACACTACGATCTAAGTCTAAGATTCTATTATTGAGTCCATACTCATTTTTTTTATAAATTAAAAATTAACTTAATAAACATCCCAATAATAATAAGTAAAAATATTTTTTTGTATAATAATTATGTCAATGCTTAATAAATAATAACAAATAATTAGCATTTGATTTCTATAATATTAGTTAAAAATGTTAATCCTATCAATTTTGTGATCTTCGTGTTTGACACTAACTTATATCATTTATTATTTGTGTTAATAGGTCGTGTCATTTACAGGGTTGAGAAATGATCATCCCGAACTTACTAATTTGTGTCGAGATTGAGTCGTGTTTTGCCAGAAATTGCCACCCCAACACAATTCAATTTCAATTTGCTTCACCTTCCATTCTTCCTACAATTTGTAGTAGCTGTGTGGTAAAAAACAATCTGATTTTTGTTGCTTATTCATCATTGGAGGGGAAGGGAAAGTGATATGTGATTTCCTTCCTTGGTATGGAAATGCTGGGATAGTATGACTCACGACGTTGGTCCAAACTCTAGATTAAGTTCCAACAATGTTGCTCTGCACACATGACAACAAGACAAGTTCATCCTGATTGCTTAAGATTTTGTGCAAGTTCAATTTACCAACTTCTGTTAAACTAGCTTAACATATAACCTGACTTCTTAAGTGTCATGATTCAATAGTTTTAGACTTATGACCGTTGGAGGATTCCTTTAATCTGTGCAAGACAGAGAGCACCTTCATTTTGGGCTTCGGTTTCTAAAGATTTCAAAGGAATCCCACTCTTTGCTATTTTAATGGGATGGAGAGCTTTATGTGATCTATAGACTTTATATTTTTGCCTTTCATTGTATTTTTGCTCTTTTGTAGTTAGATATTCTGCTTTTATATTAATGCAATACATTTTGTTTCCTATCAAAAAAAGGGAAGGGGGGGGGGGGGCAGCACTTCGGTTTATGCCTTTGGTCACCTCAATTGAATTCTGGTAACTTTTTCTCGTATTGTTTCTGGTGCATGTTCGACTTCAATTAAACCATTTTCTTCACTCCCCACGAATACACTGTGTAAGACTTCACGTTGTATGATCCATAACTGGTGCTACTTGGCCCCAGTTTCGCACAAATTGTGATGTGCATTGATACTTGTTTTGTGTGCTTCATAAATCAAAGTCTGGTAAAAGGTTATTTTATAACTGGTCTTGACTGGCTTATCAGCTCCCCTTTGGCAGTTTTATTAGGCTATGATTATAAAAGCAGATAGGTGCTAACTTGATGTGACTGTGAGATAATTGTTTAATACCAAATTATAAAGCTCATCATGTATTCTTGAAAAAGAACTTGAAAAAGAAATCTTGGTTGTTGTATGTTGGTGCAGAAAAGGGTTCTTTCTTTTGTAACGTTGATTCTATTTTCTCCAGGTCTGGTGAGCATTAAGTATATGCTCTGGGGATGTCATCATTTGTGTCTTCAGGGGTGATCTTTAAACTTCAATTGAGCTTGTTAAACTTCATCGTGGGCAAGGCTCACAGTCTGATGGCCGGATGATTATATGTTTTGGGAATAATTACTTTCAGTTTCTTTGTGAATCAAGTATGAACCAGCAAAAAGCCAGAAGAACAAGCATCACGTGTAAGAGGGTCCAACTTTAGATTGACCAGAACTGAGACACGCATTCCAGTTGCCTTCAAAGATTGCATGTATGATTATCCATTTGCTACCTTTGAATTCTGCTAGCGCCAGGTCCTTTATATTATTTATCATGGACCAAGTGAGCTTGAACTTGCTTGGTCAATTTCCATCTCATTGGAGAACAAGTTCAAGCATTAGACAGCAATGCCATATCAGTTCATTCGCAAATTTATATGTCTACATGACTGGTGGAAGGAACAAAAGTTGCAGTTTTGGGAATCTTGAAAAGAAACTATAGTTGCAGTTAGGACATAGAACTTTTTAGTGAAATGTTCGGACTTGTTTCAACTTGATGAAAATTGGACACTTACAGGTTGCCAAGTCCCAATACCGCATGCCTCTATGGAAAGGCTATTGCCATTAGAGCTTTAGCTTCCAGCATACTGATGTGACTGCCTTTGTTTTGTGCATAGCACTGCAGCTCCCCAGATTTTTGAATTTAATTTTGTTTTCAGTTATTAAATTTCATTTTTTGCGCTTAACATGGGTTTCATATGCTGCGTGAGGCCTTTTTGCAACAATTCATTTTAATCCCATCCGGAACAACAATGTATAGAACTTTGTATGAAGTTTCTATCGGGTCACACCTATAGGCATAGCGTCCATGGATGATCTATTCTTGACACATAAAAAGCTGTAGTTTTCCTTAAATTATGTGCACATTTTGATCATGTTCATGTCTTAACTAGACTGTTTGCTCGCAGCAACGGCCACATCCTCGTGTTCGCCCAATTCCCTCCCAGCTCTGGTGCAAGAATTTTGGGAAGAAGGAATACTGATTTGTAATAATTTGCTAGTAAAACATCTGTAGAAGTTTGTATGAGGCAAAGAGCCATCTTGCCCTTTTTTGGTATTTCATGGATGTGTGTTTGAGCAACATGTCCAATTAAATAATAAAACTCTCCCTCTTCATCATCTTCAGCAAGTCCACTCCCCACCACATCTCTTTATTATCTTTTTTTCTTGATGTTGTGATCTATAAGAAAGGCTCTGAAATTCAATCATAAACCACTCCCCCCCCCAACAACAAATCCTTTCCCTGAAGTGGTAAAGAACTCTATGGGGTCTAATTTTCTTTCTATCTGACAGGACAAATACATGGGAAAGGATGGTTCTTTCATTGGCATTATAGGGGACCAAGGAGAATGCATTGGTTAGTTTATCAATAATGTTTATCAGAGTTCCTTTCCGGACCCTGTAGTTTGTACTATTGAATCCGCTATTATTAGCGAACAATATCGGTACGCGTAGGAAAGTCCTACTACCACCAGACTAAACTTGAGTTCCTGACCAAAAAAAAAAAAACTTGAGTAAACTTTTTAAGGGTCTTATTCTCATTAAACATAAAAAAAAAAAAGAAAAAAAAATACAACATCAAAAATTATTACATCGATATCGTAATCTTATCCTTTGTGGGGTCGTCTTTAATCACGGTGGGTCGATCAACATTTATATGTGCCAGTGTATTGTCTATCTCTTA